GGCATAATGGTTACATTGCTGGACTCCCATGTAGTCGATTGCAGTTTGGTCGCAGACCCAGTGGCTTACACTCACCCCAGGCACATGTGCATGCATGCCCAAAAATCCCAAGAGGAGAATGGAGAAGGGATTGCAGCATATCCATCCCCAGAGGGGTGATTTCTCACTTTCTTTCTGTCTCTCCAGGTGAGTACACATGCCCTATAGCACAAATCTCTCTCTCTCTCCAAAAAAAAGAAAGATGTATATAATACTTAGACTCGCAGACCCTCGCCTCTGCTCCCAGAAGGATAATCACCTTTTCCCTTCATCAACAGAAGACTGGAGATTTATTCTCTGCAGAGACTAAAACAAGTGGCCTCTGATAAACTCTTGCCACAAATAAGGGTGCAGATTTTGAACCAAAAGAGAGGGAATAAGTAAACTTTATATATTGAATGTTGAAACCTCCAGACTACTTCTCCAACTTAGCTCTTAGAAAACTGGTCCTGCATTCTTCAGGCTGGAGTTCAGTAGATTCATCAACCGGCAATCTGACCAACCCAAGAGAAAAAACTTAAATGAATCCGTCTGATCACACCTCCTTATACTGAGACCACATTGACAAGTCTTACCCTATGTGCACAGAGCTTCTAAAAAATGTAGTGTGAGTGTCCCATTCTTACCAATGAGCAAATAGCCCTGCATCACTAGGCATCTGAGAAGATCTGTAACACGAACACCAGGTTTGACCTGGCAATTTGCTTTCTCACTTTCTGTCTCTGTCTTTCTCTGGTCTAATTAAAATAATAGTAATGATGGATAAAATTAAATAAATAATTCTTTTAAAAAATAAAAGGACACTTGGAAGGTAAACTTATGATAGCAGGAACGGAAAGCTTACTAGAGAAGATGGAAGGTAAATCTGAGCCTCACTCTGCACCTAGGCTAGGGCTCGTTGACGGTGGCTTGCTAGGAGACAGATATATGCATAGGGCTTTTTTGAAGGAAGCACTAGAAAGCGTTGCTAGTGATTACTTTAGAAGTAAGCATGGGGCCCAGCTTTGTGCTGCAGTGGTAAGGCTCTGCTCGAGAGAAACTGAATTTCACGGGGCAATCCTGATTCGAATTCTTGGCCTGGTCGGCCTGAACCACACCAACCATATGTGTGAGCGCCTGAGATCTGATGGGCCGCTGGACTGGAGGAAGGGGATCGTGGTGTGACAGGCCTCATGGAGTGTGCTCATCTCTCTCTCTTCCACTCTCACTCTCCCATGTGCATACACGTGCTCTACCATGGGGGGGTGGTAGTGGTGGCAGAATCTGCATACTTTATGCCAGAAAAAAAGAAACAAAAATAGAAGGCCAGGAAAGGGGTATTTTTATGTAATATTTGAGTCTGCAATGGCATGCATTACTTTTCTAATTTTTTTTCCTAGAGAAAGGAAATGTGTTCCCTCCGATGGAACATCTATAATGGAGATACTTAACCCTTAGGTAATAACAGCAAAATTTCCTTTGTTCAGAACCTGCGAAGGAATTTTGCTAGGAACCCTTTAAATATTGCAGCTAACCTTCCCTGGTCGTCTTAGGCTTACACTGTGTCACTCCAGGGAAGGAGCGAGAGGGGCTATCTTTTGAGCTGTGAGGACCTGAATGTCTCCAGAAGATAAATCCCCTTCTCCATTTCTGTGTTAGGCTCTCCTTACAGGTAGAGTAACGGGTAGTTCCTTTTGGCTCTGTGGAATGCTGCAGTCCTTTTTGGCAACAGCCCTTCCATGATAACTTTCTGCTCCAGGACCTTGCTTACCAATAATTAATCTCAGATGAAAGGTTCAGTACTGCAGGCTTCCTCTGTCTCTGACCTAAGAACACTCTGTGAATAGTTTGTTTGTTTGTTTGCCAGAGATGTTATCTTGACTCACAAGAGCTGATAGGATCATAAAACCACGTCATCTTTCTTCAGTATGCTTTCTCGACAGAATGGGGAGTGTAAATAGCTTAGCCCAAGACAAAAGCGAGATTTAATATCTATCTCAAGTAGGGGGAGAGGGGAGGTTAATTGTTAATTTCATAATGGCACTATGTCAAAGTAATAAAATTGAGTAACTCTCTAGCGTGTACTAAGCCCCGATTTTGCTCTTTGAGAAATGTGTTTGGAGAAATCCCTGCAGAACGACTGAGCCAAGTGTCCAAACCACCCACGTGCTGTTCCCGGCATGTGAATTAGAGGGCGGCCAGTGGGAGTCTGGGCCAAGCACTTAGATGACTAGTGTGTCTGATGTCTGTTCCCTGATATGGAACTCAAAATAAATCAAAAAGGAAAAATTTTCCAGATACCCGCTAATTCATAAAAAACATCTTCAGCCTCTGTAAACCTTGCACTCATGCAAAGCTGACACACAGATCTCCTCTGAACAAGGATTTAGAGATGAATTCCCACAGGCACAGCTACTCATGTAGACTTACTGAACTTTGGTGTTTCAGTTTTAGGCTCCGAGTAAAATTAGAAGAACCTTGCAGGGTCCAGAAGAAACTGGAACATTTAGAAAATGGGACTTTCGAAGAAGGGTTATAAGAGACCAAATCTGGGGGCCACCAAATGGCATGGTGGATAGGGGTGCTGAACTCCCATATAGCCAACCATGGTTCGAGTCCTGGACTTGGCCGCTTGTCTCTCACTTTCCCTCTCTCTCCCTTTCTCTCTCTCTCTCTCTCACTCTGTCCCTCTCTGGTCAAATTTAAATAAATAAGGTTAAATGAAATAATTATTTTTTAAAAAGAGAATTTGAACTAGAAAATAATGAGGGTGATTGAAAAAAAATGTGAATAGATAGAACAAGAGGAAAATGGAATAAATAGTGGAGGAGTCTATTTAGATTGGATCTTAAGAATAAATTTTCTGGGACTGGCTCCATGGCCTGGTGGTTAAGGAAGCCAGATCCTACATAGGCAACTGCGGTTCAAATCTCAACCCTGGCAGCTTGAGCAACATGCCAGGCATGTGTGCATGTTGCCCTAAATCCCAGCAGGATAAGGAAATGGAGGAGAAGGATTTATTGCGTGACTGCACTCCATTGGGGGAGTGTTTTCTCCTTCTTTTTCTCTGCCTTTCTCGCGAACACATGCAGCCTCTGGTAAATAAAAAAAGAATAAGCTTTCTTACTGTGAACCTTGGTAGACTGAAAAACGAAGGAGCAAAGGAATGTTGTAGAGCCCAAGCTACAAAGATAATGGAGGCTGTGGTGAGTTCTTGCCGCACATGGACTGGGGTTCTCAGATACAGAGGTTCAGCAACAGAGCTTCCTGACACCACAGTTCTGATATTTTAAGAAATTGGCAGGGAAATGAAGCCCTCCAGCACAAACTTGGCACCTCTTCTTGACCACAGTGCTTCCAGTTTGGTTCACTTACCAGAAAAGCTGTAAGTGCTATTTAGAAGCAGGATCTGATCCCAGGACAGGAGGAATTGTTAAACAGGAGACAGCGAAAAATGATAGGTCTAAGGAGTTCTAGGAAAGAAACTTTGTTCAGTTACCTTGTTTTACCAGGTACAGAGTGTTTTATTTATTAAAAAAATATTAAGAGGTTTTTGCTTTAGGGCATGTGCATTCTCTGGAGAGAGAGACAGAAACAGTGAGAGGGAAAGTGAAACATCGCCCCCCCCCAGGGAGAATGGCCATGCTGCAATCCCCTCTCCTCTATTCTCCTCCTGGGATCTTGAGCACGCACGCACACATACCCAGTGTGATTTTCAAGCCACCAGGTCTGGGACTTGAACTGTGGTAGGTCATGTGGGAGGTCAGCGATGTAACCACTATGCCAACTGCTGGCTCTTGGAACATTTTAGAAAAGGGAAGAAAAGATATCTGGAGAACACATCTGAAAATGAACAAAAGTATGGTAGTTATAAGAACAGAGGCTATTTATAGGGAGAAGAAATCAATTTGAATAATTAGATTGACCCAAAAATTACCTTGTCTTTATAATACATTTTTCTGTTAAGGAAATCAAACAACACTTGCCAGATAAAGAGAGTCTCCTCCTCTACTAAAAGAACATTGCCACCTTACAGGAAGTTTAAGTCACACTCTGAATTATTGGCAAACACAGAGCTAACCCCCAAATTTCCTTCTTTCGGCCAGTCTGTATGTTGGCGTAGGGCCTTTTTTGGTTTGTTGGTCAGTATTAAAAATTGGGACCAGCAAATGGTGTAGTGGTTATGTCACATGGTTATGGACTCCCACATAGTTGACTATGGTTCGAGTCCCAGACCTGGTGACTTAAAACTCACACCAGATGAGTGTGTGTGCGTGTGCCCAAGATCCCAGTAGGAAAATGGAGGAGAAGGGATTACAGACAGCATGGCCATCCCCCCTGGAGGGAGGGGGATGATTTCTCACCTTCTGTCTCTGCACATGCTCTATATCAAAAATCTCTAAATTTTTTTCTATTAATGTATTTCTTGGGCCAGTCCCATGGCCTAGTGATTAAGGGAGCCATATCTTGCAAAACCAACATTCAAATCCTGGCCCTGGCAGTTTGAAAAACATACCAAGGATATAATGTGTGAATGCTCCGAATCCCAACAAGATGGAGAAACGAAGGGATTGTAACATGGTCAGCCCCTATTAAGGGTACTTTCCCTCCGCCTCTCTCTGTCTCTCTCTGTCTCTCTCTGGTAATATACACTCTGACAGTTACAAATATAGGAAACGTAGGGAACCAGCAGTTAGCATAATGGCTATGTCGCTGGACTCCCACATAGTTGACCACGGTTCGTGTCCCAGACCCGGTGGCTTAAGACTCACGCCGGGCGCGTGTGCGTGCATGCCCAAGATCCTGAGAGGAGAATGGAGGAGAAGGGATTGCGGCGTGGCCATACTCCCTGGGGGTGATTTCTCGCTTTCTGCACGCGCCCTATAGCGGAAAAACCTCTCTAAATAAATAAATAAATAAATAAGGAAACGTACCCGCCTTGGCTTCTGTTTTTGCTGCTAACCTCTGCCTCTCTTCTGCAGCTGGGATGAAAGCAGCTCCATCAGCAGTGGGCTCAGCGATGCCTCGGACAACCTCAGCTCGGAAGAGTTCAATGCCAGCTCCTCACTCAACTCCCTCCCGACAACTCCCACTGCTTCTCGCAGGAACTCAACGATAGTGGTACGTAGGTTCCGGGCCAGAGGGCGGCTCAGCAGTAAAACGTGGTGCCCTTTGTGTTTAGCCCACATTGCAGGATTCTGGATTTGCATCCAGAGACTTCCCTGAGTTTGCGGGGTACATCCCGTGGTCCCAGGATGGCTAAGGCTGGGGGTGAATCATGTTGCCAAGACGCTGTTAAGGATGCCATCTCGCCCATTAAATAAATAAATAAACCTTTTTAAAAACAGCTTTAAAAATCTTTTTTAAGTGCATGCACTCTCTAGAGAGAAGGAAAGCGAGGCATCAGCTCTAGGAGGCTTCCCATGCCACAGCCTCTTCTCCATTCTCCTTTTAGGATCTGGGCCACACACGCACACACCCCCTGTGTACACCCTCTGTGTGATTTTCATGCTTCTGGGTCTGGGGCCCAAACTGTATAGTCAGCCATGTGGGATCCAAACTGCCTTAACCTCCACACCACCTTTTGCCCCCCATACCTATTTTTTAAAAAAAAATAGTAGTGCGTGAGTATTAGCTTATGTGAGTGTTAGTTTGCTAACACTTAGGCCATCATCTCAAGGTGAACCACGGGGTGAACTGGGCAATGCCTCCCTATGTGCTTGCTCGGATACGCCACTCCAGGGATCAGTTCCCACAGGCCTTTGGCCCAGTTCTTTTAAATCTGGCCCCCCCCAGAAAAAAATATATATACATATATATATATAAAGGGCCTGGTGGTTGAGGAAACCAGATCCCCCATGGCCAACTATGCTGTTCAAGTCCTGGCCCTGACAGCTTGGCAGACGTGCCAGGTGCATATGTATGCATGCCTAAAAGTTCCAACAGGATAGAGAGGCAGGGGAGAGGGGATTGTGCCATGACCACTCCCCTTTGGGGGATACTTTCTCCCTCTCCCTTTCACTCTGTCTCTGTCTCCCTGGTGAGCACACACACACACACACACACACACACACACACAAAACAAACAAACAAAAAAGTGAAGCTACCAAGCCCTAGTGCTGTACCAGACTGAGGCAATGCATGTCAGAGCTGTTTCAACTGGAGAAGGAAAACAAACCCCAGCATGTCCTTCCCGGAGCCTGAGGGTGCATGCGGAAACCCTGGGCTGCCTCCCTGTGCTGGGCTGAGCAGAGCCACCCACTAACCCAAACACACCCTCTCCACTGTCCAGCTGCGTAGGAGTGTCTCACTCTGCCTTTTCTCTCTTCCCTTCAGCTACGCACAGACTCAGAGAAGCGCTCACTGGCAGAAAGTGGGCTGAGCTGGTTTAGTGAATCAGAGGAGAAGGCCCCCAAAAAGCTGGAGTACGACAGCGGTAGCCTAAAGATGGAACCTGGGACTTCGAAGTGGCGGAGAGAGCGGCCTGAGAGTGGTGACGATTCGTCCAAGGGTGGAGAGCTGAAAAAGCCCATCAGCCTGGGTCACCCTGGCTCCCTAAAGAAGGGCAAGACTCCGCCGGTGGCCGTCACATCCCCTATCACTCATACAGCCCAGAGCGCCCTCAAAGTTGCAGGTGAGGCTGGAGTAAAGGAACGGATGAGAATGAAGACCTCTTTCTTTCATTGCCCCTTCTTCCTTTTTTTTAAATTAAAACTTTTTTTTTTTGAGAGAGATTTTTGCTATAGGGTATATGTGCGAAAAAGTGAGAAATCACCCCCTTGGGGGATAGCCATGCTATAATCCCTTCTCCTCCATTCTTCTCTCGGGATTTTGGGCACACACGCGTACACACCTGGTGTGTTTCAAGCTGCTGGATCCTGGACTTGAACCGTAGTCATCCTTGTGGAAGGACAGCACTTTAACCATTATGCCACCTGCTGGTCTGGCTGTCTTTCTTCTGAGTGGTCATCAACTCACAGAATGACGGCAGACATCTGCATGGTGTTGTTAGAGCCCCACATTATCTTACCTGCTCTTTAGGACAGTCCTGTGAGTTGGGAAAGGTGGGTATTATCAGCTTCATGAGGGTGGAGATGGAGACTCAGGTTAAACTGCTGGGCCAAAATCACAGGACTACTAAGAAGTGGAGGAGGGCCCCAGCCTGTGTGGTGAAGTCAGAAGCATACTGAACTGCAATGTTGGAAACCACATGGCCGACCACTGGTTCAAATCCTTGCCCCATCAGCCTAAACACATGCATGCATGCCCCAAATCCTGATGAACTGGAGGGCTAGGGAGAAGGGGGCATTGCATGTACCCTCTAGCAAATTAAAAGAATAATAATAATAAATAAATACCAAAAAAAAAAAAAAGGAAAGGAAACAATGTATCAAATGGTGATAGCAAGAGAATTATGGTGCTCTCCAAATTGGCCCTTTGGGTAAGTCACAGCCTTAATCAGCACTTCCCTCTCATCGTGGATTCTCAATAGTCGTTGCCATACTCGATCGCTTCCCCCCTTTTGCCCTCTGTTGACCAGTAGTGATGTGCTTCCTTCTGGGTCATCTTTGTGATTGCCTCCACCATTTTAACCAAGATGGGCCATCTCAGTCTGGGAGCAGAAAACAACAAAGACAACGTAAAACCAAATCCCGGCCACCCTACACCCTCCTCCCCCAGAGTCCCTGTGGCAGAAAACCTCATCTGCTTGTCTACTATCCACTTTAACCACATTTGAACCTCTAAAATTCTACAATACATGACAATGCTCCCTTCTCCTGTGCAGAAAAAGGAAAGGATTTTTCTTAAAAGACTTTGCCATAGGATATGCGTACTACCCAGGAAGAGTGTGAAAGAGACAAAGAGAAGGAAAGTGAGAAGTTACCCCATGGGGAGATGGCCACATCGCAATCCCTTCTCCAGTCTCCTCCTGGCATTTGGGGCATGCATGTACATGTGCCTAGCATGATTCTCAAGCTGCTGGGTCCAAGACTCAACCACGGTTGGCCAGGTGGGAGTCCAGCATCTTAACCACTATGCCACCTGCTGGCCCCGAAGGGAAAGGATTTTTAAGATACTGGTCTCGGGGGCAGTGGTGGTACAGTGATGACATGATGCATGCAAGGCTGACCCACACGGGAGGTTCTGGGTTCAGCCTGGAAACTTCCCTAAGCATACCAGGCACGAGGATACCTGTGATCCAGGGCTGGCTGAGACCAGGGGTAAATCACAGTGTCAAGACCTTGTTGGGTGGAGGGGCTGTCTCTGTTTGTCTCTTTGTCTCTCTGACTCATAGAAAGAAGTAAACCATTTTTTTAGAGAGAGATTTTCGCTATAGGGTGCGTGTGCTTGTCAGGGAAGCAGAGAGAGACAGAGAGATAGAAATAAAGAAATCACCCTCTGGGGGGGATAATGTTGCAATCCCTTCTCCTCCATTCTCCTCTCAGAATTTTGGGCACATATACACGTGCCTGGTGTGAGTTTTAAGCCACCAAGTCCAGGACTCGAACTGTGGTCAATTACACGGAAGTCCAACGATGTAACCATTATGCCATCTGCTGGTCCCAAGAAGTAAATAAACCTTAAAAAAATTTTTTTAAAGATACTGGTCATCTTGGAGCTAGGTGGTAATACAGTGGTAATGCAACTAGACCCACCTGGGAAAAGTCCTGGGTTCAAGTCCCATGACTTCATGATCCATACCAGCTGAGACTTGGGGTGGATCACAGCATGAGGCCCCTATTGGTGGTAACTATCTTTGTGTTACTCTCTCTTTCTTATTTAACATTTTTTTAAAAAGAACAAAAACCTTTTTAAAAAGTTGGTCAGGGACTAGCAGAAGACATAATGTTATGTCGCTGGACTCCTGCATAATTGACTACAGTTCAGGTACACGACCCAACCACTTAACACTCACACTGGGTATGTGTGCATGTGTGCCCAAAATCCTGAGAGGAGAATGGAGCCAAAGAGATTGCCGTGGAGCCATCTTCCCTGGAGGGTGATTTCTCTTTCTATCTCTGTCTCTCCAGTGAGTGCACATGCCCCATAGCAAAAAAAAGGAAAAAGAAAAAAAGTTGGTCAGTTTGAGCTACTCTTACCATATTTCCTGCCTCTTGCAGGCAAACCTGAAGGAAAAGCCACAGACAAAGGAAAGCTCGCAGTGAAGAACACGGGACTCCAGCGCTCCTCTTCGGATGCCGGCCGGGATCGCCTGAGTGATGCTAAGAAACCGCCCTCGGGCATTGCTCGCCCCTCCACATCAGGATCCTTTGGCTACAAGAAGCCCCCACCTACCACGGGCACAGCCACCGTCATGCAGACTGGTGGCTCAGCCACCCTCAGCAAGATTCAGAAGTCCTCAGGCATCCCGGTCAAACCAGTAAATGGACGCAAGACCAGCCTAGATGTGTCTAACAGTGCAGAGCCAGGATTCCTGGCTCCTGGAGCCCGTTCCAACATCCAGTACCGCAGCCTGCCCCGGCCAGCCAAGTCTAGTTCTATGAGTGTGACTGGTGGGCGGGGTGGACCTCGCCCTGTTAGCAGCAGCATCGACCCCAGTCTCCTCAGCACCAAGCAGGGAAGCCTTACGCCTTCTAGACTGAAGGAGCCTTCCAAGGTAGCCAGTGGGCGGACTACTCCAGCCCCTGTCAATCAGACGGACCGGGAAAAGGAGAAGGCCAAAGCCAAGGCAGTGGCCTTGGACGCAGACAACATCTCCTTGAAGAGCGTTGGCTCCCCAGAAAGTACTCCCAAGAACCAAGCAAGCCACTCCCCAGCCCCCAAGTTGCCAGAGCTCCCACCAACCCCTCTCAGGTACCCAATGGGGCAGCTGTCTCCTTGTCTCTCTGCTCTGTCTCTCTTGTGTTTACACCTGCCTCCTTAGACTAGGTGAAGCATGGCCTCTCCACTCTTGACAGGCTATGTGTGGGTCTTCTCCCTCCCGCCCCCTAGGTGCCAAGTTTCTTCTCCTTTTAAAACCATGTTGAAAACTCTGGCTGTCTGTACTGTTCTTCCATCAGTCCCTAACCTGTCTCCAGCACTTGCTTGGGTGGTCTTGCTGTGTGCTGTATTTGCACTCAGAGACCTGCTTATGTAAAAACTCACTGCGTCTGTCGTGTACACATGCGGTCCCCTTCAAGACCGAAGCTGCACAAGTCAGGTACCAGAGTTCATCCCCATGTATTCCACCACAGCATCAGGATAAACCTCTGTACTTAGCAGACAGCTACAGAATGAGAAGCTGGACTTGCGTTCCTATGAGGCGCCATCTGCCTCTTGCTCTGTAATTCTGTCATCCTAAATATTTTGTTTCATCTTCACTTCTCTCAGGGCCACATCTAAGAGCTTTGTCAAGCCACCCTCACTAGCCAATCTAGACAAGGTCAACTCCAACAGCCTGGATCTACCATCGTCCAGCGACGCCCATGCTGCCAAGGTCCCAGATCTGCATGCCACGAGCTCGGCAGCTGGGGGCCCTCTTACTTCCTGCTTTACCCCCAGTCCGGCGCCCATCCTCAATATTAACTCGGCCAGCTTCTCCCAGGGCTTGGAGCTCATGTCGGGTTTCAGTGTCCCCAAGGAGACCCGCATGTACCCCAAACTCTCAGGCCTGCACAGGAGCATGGAGTCTCTCCAGATGCCAATGAGCCTGCCCAGTGCCTTCCCCAGCACTGCCCCTATCCCCACACCCCCTGCCCCCGCTGCTGCTCCCCCTGAGGAAAAAACAGAAGAGCTGACCTGGAGTGGAAGCCCCAGAACTGGGCAGCTGGACAGGTGGGGGGCTGGAGACAGATCCATGAGCTCAGCCTGTGCTGGGGTCTTCCATGAGCAAAACTGTCCTATTGGGTTATTGGAAAGTCATGATGCATTTTTGCATAGAAAAAAAAAGAAACTAGATGTAATGACTTTTCTGACAACCCAAAATATTTGATTACCATTCTGTGACTGCCTGAATTTTTCTATATATACCAAGCAATTTCTTTTTTTTGTTGTTTTTTTAAAAGAATTATTTTATTTAACTTCATTTTTTATTATTATTATTTTCTAGTTTGATCAGACAGACAGAGAGAGGGAGAGAGAGTGAGAGAGAGGGAAAGTGAGAAAGTAAGCCACCAGGTCCAAGACTTGAACAGTGGACAGCCATGTGGGAGTCCAGCACCTTTAACTACCACACCACCTGCCAGCCCCCCAAGTAATTTCATATGCTTCACAACAACTCCATGAAATAGGGTTTTGTTTTTAAATTAGTATCTTCAGCTTATAAATGGAGAAGCCAGTGCACAGAGAAGTTAAATGACTTACGTAAGATCTCATAATTATTGTAACCTGTCATTAGCGCTTTTGCTTCCTAGTCCAAAATAATTTCTTATGTTACATTCTGGTTTTCATCTATATATGATCTTTCTTTTTTAAAGAATTATTTAATTTTATTTATTATTATTATTTAATTTGCTCTAAGGCACATATGTTCACCAGAGAAAGATGTAGAAAGTGAGAAAGCAACCCACCAGATCTGGGACTCAAACCACAGTCTTCCATGTGGGAGTCCAGCACCTTAGCCACCATACCACTTGCTGGCCCCTATGTGATCTTTTAATAGCTAACCACATTAGATTCCTAATCAGAGAAAAACATTGACTATTTTAGATAAATTTGCCAAGTCATAAGCCGGGAAGCAGGCCACGCTGTCTCCTTACTTTATTTCTAGAGATAAAAGGGGTTAGAGTAGGATGTTCCGTGTCTACATCCCCCAGATCTACATATGGTACGAAACTCTGATTTCTAAGGTGGACCCACATGCTTCTCTTTTTCTATCCTCACAGCAGTCAGCGGGATCGGAACACCCTCCCCAAGAAAGGGCTCAGGTAACCCTAAAAGACATTTTTTTCTTCTCTATACCTAAGGCTCCCGGTCAGTATGAAAAATTGTAACTTGACCTGCCCCAGGCCCCAATCCTGAGCGCAGTAACTCCTTTAACTGAGTCATCTGTATGTGAGCCTCTACAAATACCACCTAGCACCCTGTGCAAGCTTAACCTTACATGAGTAACTTTTATAGAAAGTGTTCTTTTTAGTGACGAGGAGAGACAAGTTTGCACATGGGACTCAGGCTTACCTGTACCAGCCTGCATTGTCCCATTCCTGGCTGAACATCATCTCTGTCATTTTCCTCCCTCAGTGTGAGGACGGAAGAACAGCTTGCTCTGGGGTCACTCCAGTGCGCCCAGGGCAGGCACACCTGGTCCTCTGCTGTTACAACAGCCATGAGTTGTTAGTTGTGTGGTGGCTCCTGCCACGTGGAAGCCCACACATGGAATCGTGGAGTTGTCCTGAGCTTCGGGGAGACGTTCTCAGGCAGCCCCATCATTGCTGCACCTCCCCTCGTGGGAATCCCTGCTGGCCCTTCACATCTACTGGGCCACCTCCTGCTCCCTCTATAGGCCGCCCCTTCTCCTGGTCCTGCTGCCAGAGCCCTGGCTCCAACCTAGCTCAGTCAGCCTCCTCTATACCAGCCAAAAGAGGGCATCACTCAGTAGCTGCCCAGACTGAGTCCTTCTGCCACCTCCTGCAGGTACCAGCTCCAGTCCCAGGAGGACAGCAAGGAGAGGCGACACTCCCACACTATTGGGGGGCTGCCTGAAGCCGATGACCAGCCAGAGCTGCCTTCGCCCCCTGCGCTCTCCCTGTCCCTGAGTGCCAAGGGCCAGCTCACCAACATAGGTCAGTGCTATAGTCACCCACCGTGGCACAGGCGGCAGTAGGTGTGCCCTGCAACTGGACGCAAGGCATCTGGGCTTGGGTGTCTCACGCTCACTTGAGTGTCTGCATGCTGCCTCAGTTTACCCACCCAAATCACTATGAAGGCAAAGTGCCCAAGATCCTAAACTGAAAAGTGGCCTCTGGGCACAAGTTAGAGGGTTCTTAGAGCATCAGAGTCTGAATGAGGGTGTGGAAAAGCTTTAAATTGGAGCTCGGAGATCAGCCAGGGCAGGGAGCAGGCACATCACGCTGCCAGGAAGGGGCTGCCGGGCCTGCTGGTGAAAGGAGGGGAGGAAGTGAGTCGTGGGGAGGAAGAGGCAAAGGCTGATGGCGGAGGTTGGGATTTGCCTCCAAACCCAGAGAGTCCAGATTCCCCAACCACTTAGGCTGGGCCAGGACCATCCTAACCCTGCAGGCAGAGCTGACTAAGTGTCCCAGCCACACCCTCTCTAAAGCCTACGGGAAAGGGAAAGCCAGAGAAGAAGGAGGCGGGCCTGTAATGCAGACACAGTGCAGGACGAAGCTTCCGGGAGAGGCCTGACCCAGCACGGCACACCAGCCCTGGCCCAGGGAAGCACCAGCCTTCATTGGCCTCTAGCAGCCCCTCCGGGACCACGTCTGGGACAGGCTAGTGGCTTACCTGTGTGTCTCTAAACCCATCTCTTCTTTCAGTTGAGCGAAAGACATCAGTAAATAGACAAGCACTGGACGTGCCTGTGCGGTGACTGGGGAGTTTGAGGGAAGACTAGGAATCGGGATTATTTTGCCCAGGGAAGAAAACGATTCTCGGGGCAGGGTCATCTGGATGCCGAAGGGCTGGAGGATGGGGTCAGCTTATTCTGCATCTCCACTGAGGGCCGAACAAGAAGAAATGTGTTTCTGCTGCAGAACAGGGACTGAGCTAAACGATAATCACTGTACGGATTTGAAAGGGCTGAGAAGAGGTGTGAGGTCTTTTTCCACACAGGTCTTCATGGGCAGATTAGACAGCCACCTGCTGGTGGAGGAGAGAGGATGGACAAGGGAGCTCCCTGGGGGCATGACCCTGAAAGGTTGGAGTCCCAGGGAGGGTCCATGGAGACAGGTCTGGAGGCCCACAGGATTCAACCCAGCCAGCTTCAAAGAGACTCCACAGGCCTTACCTGACGCTCTCCCCCTCTGTCTGTCTGACCTTCAAGCTGGGGAATGTTGGGCAAAGAGGACCACATTTCTTGATGCTTTCGAGCCAGTCCAGTAACCTAGAGTGACACTGCCTTGATGGGAGACCCACACACCCTCCCTCCCATAAGGCCAAGCCCATCGGACCCCTCGCCTAGCTTCGTCTCTAGATGGTTCTTTTTCATCATGCAGGTCTGAGTCTTGGTCTGAACTGTCAGTCCTCCTTAGCCTCCGGTTGTGTTTTGGGGAACCCCAGCATCCCATTTTCATCAGCACATCCAAGTGATGTGAAGGTTTCGGGAAAGCGGTCAGGCCCCCAGCCTAACCTTCAAAAGCAGTGACCCCAAGGCAGGAGGGCTGAAGGAAGGTCCTTCCATCAGCAGGGTCCTCCTTTAGGGCTTACTCCCCCAGGAGGGACCCCACCTCTCTGCCAGCTGCCTGCACACTCCCCTGCCTCCCCACCCCTCCTTCCCCATCTCTCCCCATCGCCCCTCATACTCCTGCTGCTCCACCCGCAAGGGACTGGAGGGCTGATGACCCTGCCTCTTCTCCTGCCCTCCCCTCCCCTCCCTCTCCTGTCCCCCTTCCCTCTGTCCTTCCAGTGAGTCCCACTGCGGCCACCACGCCAAGAATCACCCGCTCCAACAGCATCCCCACCCACGAGGCGGCCTTCGAGCTGTACAGCGGCTCCCAAATGGGGAGCACCCTGTCCCTGGCCGAGAGACCCAAGGGAATGATTCGGTCAGGATCCTTCCGAGACCCCACGGATGATGGTGAGACTTCATGCCAGCGCGGTTCACGCTCATTCCAGCCCTGCTGGGTCCCCTCACCCCCACCACCTCCACTGCCTCACTGCCACCGCCACACACACGTATACGAGTCACAGCACATTGAGCCGGGCCATTTCCGTTCTTTCTTCCCATACCTTTGAAGGGTCTGGGGGCCCAGAAACCTTGGGTGGCACCGCCTAGCACTGGGGCTTTGGGATGGAGCATCTGTCATTGGGACCGGGGAGGGTCATTCGAGCATGGCAAGGTGAAATGGCACCCTTGGGATGCTGAAGGCCACAACTTCCGTCTTCGCCACGCTAGTAGTCGTCATTCCTCCTCTCAGGCTCTCTAAACACGTGAGAAGAGAAAAGGACGTAACGGTAGCTGCTAAATCCTTACAAAGAATCAGGCATCTTATTCCTCTTTTGAGAATGTTCCAGAGATTTGGTTCAGGGAGGGCCGTCTGACAGGTGGTGGTGATCTGGGAGTGAATGTTGATCAGAGCCTGGAAGACCAGGCTCTGCTGCAGGTTGGACCTCCCGTGATTCAGGACACTTCCCGAAGCCACTCCCTGGGGCAGCGTGCCTAGTTCTCTCAGTAGGCTGTAACAGATGATCAGAATGAGTGTTTCGCACTTAAATAGCGTTCTCATCTGAGCAGTCCCCAGGAGCCCAGTAGGTCCCCAGTGCTGAGAAGAGGAGGAGGGAGAATCTCAGTGTTTGTCCCGAGCAGCTCCGATGAGAAACTCCTCGATCTACAGCTAAAGTTCTTTCCTGACCGGGAAGATAAGATGACAGCTACCCACAGAAACCTCCTTTCCCTCTCCCTTCCTGCCTTGTGCCCCTTGGAGCAGGCTGAGCAAAGGTCTGCCACACCCAGGCTGCAGGAGAACATAGACTGGGAAGGAGGCTGTCTCCGCTTGGGACTCGTCTCCTCTACTTGGAGCAGTTGTGATGCCAGTCGGGCTCCCTGTTCTCTTCCTGTTCACTCAGATGCCCTCCAGAATCACAATCCAAACTCCTGCCTTAGGGCGCTGCCCAGGAAGCATGCGTCCCGGAACCCTGTGCTAACTCTCTGTTCTTCTCTTGCAGTCCACGGCTCGGTGCTCTCCCTGGCCTCCAGTGCCTCTTCCACCTACTCCTCAGTAAGAGCCTGGCTTCCCTTCTCCTCCTCCCTGCCCCACCATCCATACTCCCTCCAACGTCCTTTGGGTGGGGGCAGGAGGCCTGGGTCTCTGCATTACATCATGTGGTGTGGGCATGGGCGTGGCGGTGGGCAGGGCCCCTAGAGCTTGGAGCACTCAGTCAGGTGTTTGGGGCCCATGGTAATCTTTCTTTTCTACAAGTTCATTTATTTATTTCTTCCATGAGAGACAGAGACAGGCACTCCCAACAGATCCCCTCAGTCTCACACACACAAGGTGTGACACCCCCCACAGCCTCACACAAGCCCAGCATGCTCAGGGAGGTCCTGAAACACGAACCCAGGGCCTTTCCCATGAGGACCCAGTGCATTACCACTGCACCACTGCCTGGCCATCTCAGTGGTCTCTCTAGCCTCACACCAGCTCCTGAGTGCCTCTGATGCTTTTTCTTCCCCTCCTTCGCAAAAACAGAGAACCCCCTTGTTTTAGAGCCCTTCCTGTGCCATGGCAAGTGGGAAGCACAGGTGGCAGGTGGGGTTCCAGGACTCTCGAACCCCGACTGAGTGCAGAACTGACCACGTTCACTCTGGGCACAGACACGTCCTCTGCCAGTTAGTTCTTGTGTTCTTAGATCTGCCCTGCCCCTGATTCTTTACTTCTTCCAGTTGCCCGCTATAAGAATTCATTTGCAGACTGATAAAAGTTTCACTCCTAGCCTCCTCGGCATACAAAGCTTACTGGGGATATGCTCCAGAGAATCTTTTATTTAAACCTGGTATCAGTCGGCACCGGGTCCTGTGTGGGGCCAGGGCCAGGAAATGGCTTTCAGCCTCTCTGCATCTCTGCATCTCGCTTCTTCAAGTTCTCTCCCCAGCATGGGCCTCCCTGGCTTCTCCACCTCCGTAGTAACTGCTTCCTTTCTCTCTCTCCTCCTGTGCTCCCTTCTTCAGGCTGAGGAGAGGATGCAATCTGAGGTAGGGTGCAAAGCCTTCGTCTCTGCTCGTGAGCCCGCTGCACACCGTGTTCCTTCCAAATCGCATGCTTCTCTGCCGCCAGTAGTTCGAATTTCTCTCCCTTTCACAGCAAATCCGGAAGCTGCGCAGAGAACTGGAATCATCCCAGGAGAAGGTGGCCACCCTGACGTCTCAACTTTCTGCCAATGTGAGTGTCACCACTAGGGAAAGACCCAGGCCTTCCTTAGGTTAGTTCAGCCAGGGAGGGAAGTCAGCAGGTAAAGGAGCCCCTGGGCTGAGCCCCCAAGACATCAGGGTTTCCTCACAGTTCTATTGTAGAGGATTTGGGATCTGCACTCCCCCTTCTCTGAGCCCCCAATTAATAGGTAAGGAGGGGTTCATGTCTGATGGACTCTAACTCCCGAGAGAGAAAAGAGGCCTCTCAGTGTTCTGCGTGGAGGTGGAAACAACCTTGCCACCGGCCATGGACAAAAATAGTTATGGATGATAATGATGGAGCCCTTGAGACCCTTTCTACTGCCCTGGGGTGTGTTGTGCCTTTGTTCCACTTAACAGGACAAGCACAGAATTGATCAGTAGATTTCTGCCTGGTGGGGGCCAGCTGGTGGTGTGAGGTTAAGGTGGCTGCATGGTTCGAGTACCAGACTCAGTGATTTGAAAAACACCCTGGACATTTGTGTGTGTGTGCCTAAGATCCCAAAAGATGGGATGGAGGAGAAGGAATTGCAGCATGACCATTCCCCATGGGGTGGGGGATGCTTTCTCACTTTCTCTCTCTCTCTTTCTCTGTCTCTCTCCAGTGAACACTCACCCTTGTGCAAAAGTTTTTAAAAGTAACAGTAGTTCTGTTAGTGACCATGGCACTAATTAGAAACCAACCCCTACGCTGGTCTAACTCCTTCGCTCACAGCCTCCTGATCCTCCCAGTGGCCTCCGTGGGCAGAGAGCAGAAATGAGGTGGTCTTCAGGTTGGAAGCCACAGTTCTTTGTTTCGGCCCTCAACCTGCTCACGCTACGGCCACTTACTGGGTTGTCGGGAAAGTCATGATGCATGTTTGCATAGAAAAATGTACAAAAATACGTCATGACTCTCCTGATGACCTCACAGAATGGGTCACACTCCTTTAGGCCTTAGTTTTTCTACTCTGTGAGATGGGGAGAAACGAAGCGACTGCCGCTCACTAGGCTGTGGTAGCTTCTCCCCGGGGCTCAGTTGCAAACAGAGAACAGAAGAGCCATTTTCTCCCAGCGCTGTAAACAACAGCTGAGCCGGATCTGCTGGAGCTCTCCAAGTGTTTGCACAAAAGTAACCATGTCTGCAATTTCCGCAGCCGTTTCTGGTTTTCTCTCTTCCCTTCCTCTCCGGGGAACCCAGCTGTCCGGCCTGGGATCTATCCCTTCGGATCAGGTAGAAGAATCTCCACAAGATCGTGCGTGTTTCCCGTGTATCCAATAGCAGTTGCCTCACCACGCCGGCTATTCTTTCTGTTCTTTTCCCAAAGACCAGTTTGTTCAAAGCTCCAATCAAGTGCTTTTTCCCACCTCGGGGACCCCTGAGAACTGTCACATAAACAAGACCTTTTCTCCCCCTTGTGTCGCACCCACCGAGGCCAGTGGCCCTGAGCGCGTCCGGCATGCCCCCGGAGATCGTGTCTGGGAGATGCTGGGAGGTGGGGAGGCGCCAGGGAGGCAGAGAGCGTGATTGTCTGATTCATTTACACCGCGATCTGTCAGCCATCATGCTGTCAAGGCTGGGCCAGAGCCAAGGAAAGAAATGGAGGGGGTGATTTTTCTTAGAACAGGAAGTTCCATTTGGCTAAGAGAGAACAAACGAAACACCCAGACACGAGAGGTTTTGAATCTTGGAGGCAGATTTTTGCCAGGGTCAGAGCTCTGCTTGGAAGCAGAGAGTGTGATGGCAGGACCCTGGGGAAGTTCCACAGCACTGTTCGGGATCCTCCGATTCTGGACTAAACTTTTGTCATGTTCCATGGGCTTCTAAACTGCCAAAGACAGGAAGGAGCCCAGACCCCTGAACCTCAAAAATGTTAGACCTTCTGGAGCACCCTGCCTAGCCCGGAGGCCTCCCAGGCACCTCACAAGATCAGGGTTAGGGGAAGGTTCTGAGTCGTGAGAGGAAATGCAGGAGAGAGAGGAACGGAAAAGCCAGTCCCCAGAGGAGAAGAGGACAACAGAAAGCACACAGGAACCTGGGGCTTCTTGGGGTCTCTCGTGAGGCTTCCAGGGACTCCAAGCATGCTATTACAGACTCCTGCAGGGGTACAGAGAAGCCACTGAGAAAAGACCTGAGGTCACGAGGACAGGAGTTCCCTGTACAGTAGGTGAAGCTGAACTGTCAGGCCACGACATGAGACTCCATAGTGGAAGAGGGGCCAAGTGGGGCCGAAAGGACTGCTTCCATCCACGTCCTATGAAAACAGGCACCAGACATGTTCCAAGGGCAGCGGGTGGGAACTAGAGGTGACCCAACAGGAGGGAGGATTCTTAGCCAACAGGAAGCAGTGAGCTGTGCTGCAGACATCCAGAGCTCTGGATTAAGGACCTGCACAGGACAATCCGCCACCTCTTGCCAGGGGCACCAGCTTGCTCAGATACCCCCTTCACTGACAGCTATTTCTCCGTCCCAGTGTTCTGCTTTCTAGTCCCATTCCCATCTCCTTTCCAGGCATCCTCCCAGGTAGAGTTCAGCCCACCCTCCAAATATCCTTGACTACCCTGAGCAGCCTTCCTAGTCAGCCTGTCTTGGGGGGCCCTGCCTCATTCTTCATTCCAGATGAAACAGACCTGACACCTAGTGGCCAAACTGAGGAATGCCCCTGGAATTCCTTTCAGCCCTGTAAAGTGGAGCCTGAAGAAAGCAGGAAAAAGGAGCAGCTCCTATGTAAGAACAAGTTTAGCCAGAGAGCCAAAAGACTCGGTTCTACTAGGGGTTATTTTATCCCATGTGAGCCAGCCCACTGCACAATGAAGGGGTTAAATCAAAATAATAGGGATGACCCTGACGCTCATGGCCCTCCTGCCATGCCTGCCACCGCAAAGTGGCATAGAGCACCTCTAATAGGACAGTCCCGCCCGACCCTCGTGCTGTCTTTGTTACTCAAGGAGCTGGTTTCTGCTAGAAATGCCTGTGAGTCCATCTTGTTCCCTCAGCGAAATCAATATTTTTGTTTTGTTTTATTTGTTTTTTAGTTTGTTTTTTTTTTTAGAGGTTTTTGTTTGTTTGTTTGTTCTTGCTATACAGTGAATGTGCTCGCCAGAAAGGCAGAGAGAGACAGAGAGACAGAAAGTGAGAAATCACCCCCCAGGGGGATGGCCACGCCGCAATCCCTTCTCCTCCATTCTCCGCTCGGGATCTTGGGCACACATGCACATGCGCCCGGTGTGAGTTTAAAGCTGCTTGGTCTGGGACTTGAATCACGATCGACTACATGGGAGTCTAGTGACATAGCCATTACTCTAACTGCTGGTCCCCGTTTTTTAGTTTTTGCTATAGGGTGTGTATGCTTGCCAAAGAGAGAGATAGGGAAAGTGAAAAATCACCCCCTGGTGAATAACCATCCCATAATCCCATTTCCTCCATCTTCCTCTCAGGATTTTGGGCACTCACACACATATGACTAGCACGTCTTTCAAGGCTCCAGGCTCAGATCTTGAACCATGTGGTCAGCCATGTGAATCAAGCCATATTAACCTCCATGCCATCTGCTGGCTCAGGAAATCTATTTTAAAACCACCAAGAGACTTGTTGGCATGGATCAGCTGTGAGACACAGAAAATCAGCTAAAACTACTTTCCACGTTGGTTATTTCCTCTCCCCCAGCCTCACACAGCTTGAGAATCTCTTTGTGTCTTTGTTTCAGGCGAATCTAGTGGCTGCTTTTGAGCAGAGCCTGGTGAATATGACATCCCGCCTGCGACACCTGGCCGAGACAGCCGAGGAGAAGGTGAGAGGCCTGGGCAGACCGGGCCAGGCCAACCCCGTCCCTCACTCACTGGTGCCAGTTTCCCCCTCCTGGCTGTCACCCTGGATTCTTAGCCTGCTCCTTACCAGGGCATGGACACATTCCTCATCCTGGTTCCCTGCCCTTCTCCGTCACATCTGGTAGAAGTCTAGGGCCTGGCTTGTTGCCTGGCACGTTGTAAGTGAGGTACTCCTACCAAGCCCAAGTAATGCACTATTCTCATTTCTCTCTTAGGACACTGAGCTGCTGGATTTGCGAGAAACCATAGATTTTCTGAAGAAAAAGAACTCTGAGGCCCAGGCAGTCATTCAGGGAGCCCTTAATGCCTCAGAAACCACACCCAAAGGTAGGGTGGAGGGAAACCAGGAATGAGATGAAAGGGGAATGACCAGGTTTTTATCTGGGTTCATGAAATACCGGGTCCCATATCAGGGGAGAGCCCTTAGGTGCTCTTCGGTGTGATGCATATACTGGTTGGTGAGGAGTTTCAGAGGCATGGCCCACCATTCTGGGGATGAGGGCCAGCAAAGAGGGGTCTCCCCACAGGCCCTCTCCTCTGCCTCCAGGCCAGTGTCAAAGAGCTGTCAAAGGCCACCGTCCAAGTGCACTTTGCAGTCCTGCATGAACTGCTGGGTGTCCACACAGATGCAGCGTGGTATTTGGTCCTCACTATGGTTCTCCGAGGGGGTGCAGTGTACTTTCCGAATGAGAGAGCCAGAGCTCACATAGGTTATGTGGAGCTCACATGGCCGGTGAGCCTGGCGACGGGCTGTCGGGATGGGAGGGCGTCTGATGCCGTGGGAATCTGTGATCCCTCACTCTGGTCCAGCCCTCGGGCTCACTCGTCAGTCCTCTCTCTTGTCCATAGTCAGTCTTCCGCCTCATCAGCTCTCAGAAAGTCCCAGCTTTCATCACAGCGGTCAAGCTCCTCATCCCACCACTGACCCACCTGACTCTGAACGCAGCCTTCACTCCCCACTTAGGAAAATGAATATCTTCAAATGAGAACCTTGTTGGCTGTTCCCAACTCCGTCAACTGACCCTTACTTACTGTCCTTCCACATTGGGAAGAGCTATCCCTCAGACCAAGAGTGACCCTGGGGCTAGTGCTTTGGAAATCCTCCCTTTAGCAATTACACCCCTGCCCCCACACCCGCCACATGCACATTCTTTTCCACCTCCCTGACCCCTAATTCTCTACTTACTCTTTCTCTCCTTATAAACCTGCTAAAGGCTCGTGTGTATATATATATATGTATATATACATAAACACACACGTGCATATATGTAATTTCACATATATGTATATTATATTCACATGTATGTACTTTTTTCTAAGACAGTCTCACCATGTTGCCATCCTCCTGCCTTAGCCTCTCAGTTGGGACTGTAGGCGTGCATCACCACATCTAGCTCTTCTTTAGACAGGGTGTCACTATTTTGTCCAGGCCAGCCTTGGGCTCTTGTTCTCCTGCCTTAACCACCTCCACCCAAGTTGCTGGGATTACAGGTACACATCACCACGCCTGGCCTTTAGGTTGGACTGGGAATTGAACTCAGGTGTCTCATATGGTCCCAGGCTGTGGGGCACCGTGTCTGAGCAGCATTCGCCAAGGTAGCTGGGCCAAAGCTCTTGTATCTTAAAGAGAAAGGAGATATATCAACCCATGTCCTTTGTAACTGGAGGTTGATGGCCATGCCACAGTCTCTCCTTTATTCTCCTCTGGAATCTTGTGAGCACATGCACATGCACCCAGTATGATTTTCAAGCCACCAGGTCCAGGACTGGAACTGCAGTTGACCATGTGGGAGTCCAGCAATGTAAACACTATACCATATGTTGGCCCTGTCTTCACTTTCTTAAAAATCGTCTTTGAAGAATAAAAATTTTCCATTTTGATATTTATTTTTTCCCTTTGGTTACTGTACTTTTGGTCTTGTAACTAAGAACTATTGCCTAATCCAAGGTCATAAAGATTTACTCTGCCTTTTTCTATAAGATTTTATATTTTGAGCTCTTACATTTAGCTCTTTATTTCATTTTTAGTAAATTTTTATATATGGTTTAAGGTAAGGGCTACAACTTCATTATTCTTGTTTTCGTTTTTGTTTTTGAGAGGTTTTTGCTATAGGGTGCGTGCACTTGCCAGAAAGAGAGAGACAGAGAGACAGAAAGTGAGAAATCACCCCCAGGGGGATGGCCATGCCACAATCCCTTCTCCATTCTTGGGATCTTGGGCACACATGAACATGTGCCTGGTGTGAATTTAAGGCACCAGGTCCGGAACTCGAACCACGGTTGACGTGAGAGTCCAGTGACATAGCCATTACACCAACTGCTGGTCCCCGATTACTGTAGCGTTTTGAAACTGGGAAGTGTGAGTCTTCCAACATTTTTTTTTTTTAAGATTGTTTTGGCTTCTTTATTTCTTGTACTTCTATGTGAATTTCAGGATTAGTTTATCAATCTCTGCAAAAAAAATCAGCTGAAATTTTGATAGGGATTACATTAAATCTGATGTTTGGAGAGTATTATTTCTTTTTATTGGGGCCAGCAGGTGGCATGGTGGTTAAAGGCACTGAATTCCCACATGACTGACCATTTATATATGGTTTAAGGTAAGGGCTACAACTTCAGATTAGGGTTAGGGTTAGGGTTGAGTCCTGGACTTTGTGGCTTGCTTTCTCACTTTCCCTTTCTTTCTCTGTCTATCTTTCACTGGTTAAATTAAAAAATAATAATAACAAATAGAATTAATTAAATAAATAATCCTTTTTAAAAATTATTTATTATTATCATTATTATTTTTAATTTGCTATAGGACATGTGCACTCACCAGAGAAGAGAAAGAGAAAGAGGGAAACTGAGAAAGCAAGCTGCTGGGTCCTGAACTCAAAGTGTGATAGGCCATGTGGGAGTACAGTGCCTTAACCACCATGACACTTGCTGGGCCCAAGAGAGTATTATTTCTTCTTCGTTTTTTTTTTAAAAGAATTATTTTATTTAATTTTACTTATATATTTACTTATTTTTAATTTGACCAGAGAGGGACAGAGAGAGAAAGAGAGAGTAAGAAAGGAAGCCACCAGATCTGGGATTCAAACTGTGGTCAACCATGTGGAAGTCCAGTGGCCCCAACCACCATACTACTTGCCGGCCCCTAAGAGTATTATTTCTTAACAATAGTAAATCTAACAGTCCATGAACATGGTATGCCTTTTCCATTTATTTAAATAGTCTTTTCTTTCTTTCAGTGATATTTTACAGTTTTCAGTTTACGAGTCTTGCATTTTTTTTTTAAAGTAAATTTTTAATACTTTAAAGGACTTAAACAAGGTCTAGGAATTAAAGCACAGTCAACCATGTGGGAATCCAGCTACTTAACCACCATGCCACCTCCTGGCCCCAAGCTTGATCATTTTTATAACCTCTTCTTTTTAAAATCTATTTATTTTATTCATGATGGAGAGCATGTGTACATGCACTTAACAGCCCTTATTTCTAGAACTGTAAATATCCACCCAACTAGTCCTTTTCCTCTAGTCTAGTTTCCCTCTATGTCATCTTTCTCATTGTTAATAGAGTAAGCTCTATTAAAATTGAAAAAAATTTAAAAAAAAAACCTTTTGACATTGTATTGTAGTTATATAAGGTATTAACATTAAAGAATAATGGGTCAAAGGTGCATAGGACTTTTTTGTATAGTTCTTTGCAACTTCCTATGAATCTGTAATGATTTCAAAATAACAAGTGTTTTTTTTAATTAGTTTATTTATTTATTTATTTATTTGGAGGTTTTTGCTATAGGGCGCGTGTGCTCGCCAGACAGACAGAGAGAGACAGAGCAATAGAAAGCTAGAAATCACCCCCCAGGGGGGATGGCCACACCACAGTCCCTTCTCCTCCATTCTCCTCTCAGGATCTTGGGCACACACGCACACGCGCCCAGCGTGAGTTTTAAGCCACTGGGTCTGGGACTCGAACCGCAGTCGACTACATGGGAGTCCAGCGACATAGCCATTACGCTAACTGCTGGTCCCAAAATAACAAGTGTTTTTAAAATCTAATATTATTGTGCCCTTGCCTTTGAGTCTTTGCTGACCATTATCTATGGCACAAAAGCACATTTGCTTCCAAAGGTGTTCAGGGCTCTACGCTCACCTCTCTGTTCCCTGTAGGTACCCTATGCACCTTTCATTCCAGTCTTGTAGCAAAGCCCGGTCCCTACGCCATGCCTTTGTGGATAATTTTTCTTCAGTCCTTAATACACTTTCCGATGTTCCCATCTGAAGAACTTCTGTTCCTTTGATACTCAAACAATTCCTTTATTAATTCTTTCTTGCCCTATTGTAGAAAAGTGAATCAGAGCCTGCCAGGATGTGTGGTGGTTAAGGCAGCTGGATCCTGCATGTCCAACCATGGTTCAAGTCCTAAACTCTGGCTTGAAAAACACACCAAATGTGGGTGCACATGTGCCCAAAATCCCAAGAGGAGAATGGAGGAGAAGAGATTGTGGCATGGCCACCCCCCCAGGGGGGATTTCTTAGTTTCCCTTTCTCTCTTTCCAGCAAGCACATGCACCCTATAGCAAACAAACAAACACAGTCCTTTGTTCTGCCATCACAAACCCTCTCAAAGAGCTGAGCTGAGATGATTTTTCTACTCATCAGGTTAAAAAAAAAAAAAACCTAAAGCTTGTTCAAATTAAATTCAGGGAATATGGCTTGTTATTCTTGGCCTTAGACCATTGAGCAGCCAAGACATAATGGAAAAATCATTAAAAAACAGTAAGGTTGAGGGACCAGCAATTAGCATAATGGCTATGTCACTGAATTCCCATGTAATTGACCGTGGTTCAAGTCCCGGACCCAGTGGCTTAAACTCATGCCGGGCACATTTACGTGCGTGCCCAGGATCCCAAGAGGAGAATGAAGGAGAAGGGATTGCAGCATGGCCATGCCCCTGGGGGGTGATTTCTCACTTTCTGTCTCTCTGTCTCTCTCTATCTTTCTGGCAAGCGTACTCACCCTATAGCAAAAAACTCTCAAAAAAAAAAAAAAATAGTAAGGTTGATGTCCTCCTAAAACTGTAGAGGAGCCAGCTGTGCTGCTCAAGTGAAGCTGGATGCCACATGGTGAACAAGATCCAGACCTGCAGCCCAGTTAGCCTAAAATACTTTGGGCATGTGTGCACATGCTTAGGAGCCCACAGGCCGGAGGACTGGAGGACTAGAGGAAGGGGATTACAGCATGACCAGACCCTATGGAGTCTCTGTTGCTCTCATACACTCATGTGCATGTGCTGTCTCATGAATTAAGGAAAATAACTGTAGAGGCCCAACTTTAGTTTCACTCTCAGGCCTAGCTGGGCAGGATTTATTACTTTGTGCCACGTCTTTCTATTAGACTGGGAGCTTCTTGAGAACAGGGATTATTCTCTAATTTTTACCTTTCGCATCTTCTTCTATATCAAAAAAATGACCAGCCTGGTCACCATGGTACAGGCAGTAGGGGCACTGCTGTGGGATGTAGAGGCCAGAGGCTTCTGGGTCACACACTGGGTTTGCCTGAACACACTGGGCACACCCATCAGGGTGCTGTGATCTAGACTGGCTGCAGGGTGGGGAGGGGTGGGTTACAGCAGGAAGACCCTATTGAAGATGCTTCTCTCTCTCTATCTCACAAACTCTCTCGCTCATGATCTTATGAAGGAAATAAATATTTTTTTAAAAAGTAATTGGCACTCAGTAAATATTTATTGAATAAAAATGAATAATGTGTGAGGATTGCCAAGTTGGTTAAGGCAGCTGGATCCCACATGGCCAACTCAGCAGTTTAAGTCCTGGACTCTGGCTTAACAGTCATGCCTGGCGTGTGTGTGTGTGTGTGTGCGCGCGCACACACACGCCTAAATCCCAAAAGGAGAATGGAGGAGAAGGGATTACAGTGTGGCCATCCCTCCTGGGGGGTGATTTCTCACTTTCCCTCTATCTCTGTCTCGCTCTGGTGAGCACATGTGCCCTATAACCAAAAATAAATAAATAATGTGGATATAGGAGTTGGTTGGTTCTGCTTCCCTCTTGGTTTGCAGCTAGACTGGCCTGAAGTCTCATGTCATCTCTAACCTGCCTTGTCTGTGTTCTTCCCGCTTGTCCTTGGCCCCTAGAACTTCGGATCAAGAGACAGAACTCCTCAGATAGCATCTCAAGCCTCAACAGCATCACTAGTCATTCCAGCATTGGCAGCGGCAAGGATGCTGACGCAAAAAAGAAGAAAAAAAAGAGTTGGGTAGGTACAGGTGTTGGGAGAGGAAACCGTAGAGAACCATGGTGGGCCACCTCCACCTCAGTGTGGGGATCAGCTCTCCAGGATTAACCAAGATGTAGTCCCTTCTGATCCTAAGCCCTAGTGTGCTGTCTGCTCAGAGCAAGGTCCACTGACTTCTCCCTTTCCCCAATCATCTCCTGCCTGTCCCAGCCTTTCTACTCTTCTGTTTTCCTTGGGCTTTCCATATTGGTCTTTGGCCACAGGAGGAAGCTCAGAAAATACCCAGAAGGGACTGTCTTGTCAGTTTCCTCCTCTATTCTCCCTCTCCCTTCTATATTATGGAGAGAAGATTTTATTTAAAAAGCCATTTGTTCCAGATGCTCCTGGAAGTCATTTCTTTAGTTTTTGGAGAAGTATTAGTGGACATTTCCAGATCACTTCTAAAGGATTTTTTATATGCCTTTGGTTGACCCAGAGGTAGTGTGTCTGTGTGTGTATGGTTTTTTCAAGCTATAGACAGGTCTTGAGCACTCCTAGCTCCTCTCTCTGCCTGTTTTAAGGACAACATCCCCAAATTGAGACAAGTCACCCCTCTGTCCCCTGTTCAGTAAGCCCCGGCTTTGTCTAGTACAGATGGTCTGCTGCATGAAACGAGTGATTAAGTGCTGCTGCTTTTTTTTTTTCTCCTTCCAAATGCTGACTTCAAATCCCTATTTTTTTTTTTCCAGGTCTATGAGGTAAGAGAACACAGTTCCTCTTCCCTTATTTTCTCTTTCCCTTTCAGCTCTCCAGGATTAACCAAGATGTAGTCCCTTCTGATCCTAAGCCCTAGTGTGCTGTCTGCTCAGAGCAAGGTCCACTGACTTCTCCCTTTCCCCAATCATCTCCTGCCTGTCCCAGCCTTTCTACTCTTCTGTTTTCCTTGGGCTTTCCATATTGGTCTTTGGCCACAGGAGGAAGCTCAGAAAATACCCAGAAGGGACTGTCTTGTCAGTTTCCTCCTCTATTCTCCCTCTCCCTTCTATATTATGGAGAGAAGATTTTATTTAAAAAGCCATTTGTTCCAGATGCTCCTGGAAGTCATTTCTTTAGTTTTTGGAGAAGTATTAGTGGACATTTCCAGATCACTTCTAAAGGATTTTTTATATGCCTTTGGTTGACCCAGAGGTAGTGTGTCTGTGTGTGTATGGTTTTTTCAAGCTATAGACAGGTCTTGAGCACTCCTAGCTCCTCTCTCTGCCTGTTTTAAGGACAACATCCCCAAATTGAGACAAGTCACCCCTCTGTCCCCTGTTCAGTAAGCCCCGGCTTTGTCTAGTACAGATGGTCTGCTGCATGAAACGAGTGATTAAGTGCTGCTGCTTTTTTTTTTTCTCCTTCCAAATGCTGACTTCAAATCCCTATTTTTTTTTTTCCAGGTCTATGAGGTAAGAGAACACAGTTCCTCTTCCCTTATTTTCTCTTCCCCTTTGCCATACCTTCCCTATTTCCAGAACAATTCCCTTCCCCTACAAAACAGAATGGAACGCTAACCGTAACAGTCACCCAGAGTTCCTAACCCACTCCACTGCATGGTCCATCCACGGCTGCCCCACGAGAGGACAGAGGAGTGGTCTGGGTCGGGGGACCAAATGGGAAGGTCAAGCAAAATCCAAATTGATCCCTAACTGTCTTTCCCTGCTAGACAACTGGCCTTTAGAAAAGCTGTCACATTGAGCTCCTCCTGTCCAGAAAATGAGCCCTCTTATTTTTGGTTCCATTAAATCTAGACATCCCAACTAGGTGAGCACCACTGGTCAACATGTTCTTGACCATAATTTCCAAAGGCCAGTTCAGGTGGGGCTTAGCCTGAAGAGGCAGTTCCAGAGTAGGATGAACCAGAGAAAGGCATGGGAGAGTGTCCATTCAGGACACAGTCAAGTCACCCCAAAGCCTAAAACTCCCCAAACATCCATAGCATTTCCAAAGACAACTTGGGAGTTAGAGTACAGTCCTAGATGAACAGAGTGGACCCAGACTCTGTCACAAACCAGACACCTGAACTCCACTCTGACCCCATTGTGCAAGTGCTATGAAGGATCTGAAAAATGGAACCCCAGTGTTTTGGGTTTGGGTTTTGTTTTGTTTTGTTTTTAAGACGTTATTGCCTTAGGGCGTGTGTACTAGCTGGAGAGTAACAGAGACAGTAAAAGAGAAAATGAGGGGCTGGCAGGTGGCATGGTGATTAAGGGCACTGGACTCCCACATGGCCGACTGCAGTTCAAGTCCCAGACCGGATGGCTTGCTTTCTTGCTTTCCATCTTTCTCTCTCCCTCTCACTCTGTCCCTTCTGGTCAAATTAAAATTAATTAATTAAATTATATCAAATAATTCTTTTTTTTTTGGAGAGGTTTTTGCTATAGGGCGCGTGTGCTCGCCAGACAGGCAGAGACAGAGAGACAGAAAGTGAGAAATCACACCCCTTGGGGGATGGTCACGCCGCAATTCCTTCTCCTCCATTCTCCTCTTGGGATCTTGGGCATACACCCCAGGTGCCTGGCGTGAGTTTAAGCTACCGGGTCTGGGACTCGAACCGCGGTCAACTACATGGAAGTCCAGCAACATAGCCATTACGCTAAATGCTGGTCCCCAAATAATTCTTTAAAAAAAGAAAGAAAGAAAGTGAGAAGTCACCCCTTCCGGGGGGGTGGGGGGCGGATGACCACACCTCAATCCTCTCTCCTTCATTCTCCTCTTGGAATCTTAGATATGCATGCACATGCACATGGGCCCAGCACGATTTTCTTTTCTTTTTTTAAGAGAGATTTTTGCTATAGGGTATGTGTGCTCACCAGAGAGACAGAAAGCAAGGGGGGGGATGGCCACGCCACAATCTCTTCTCCACTCTCCTCTCAGGATTCTGGGCACACACACACACACACATACACACACACACATACACACACACACCTGGTGTGAGTTTCAAGACCACCGTCGACGGCTATAACCACTATGCCATCTGCTGGTCCCAAGTAGGCATAATTTTCAAGTTACCTGGTTTGAGACTTAAACCACGGTCAGCGTGTGGGAGTCCAGTGATGTAATTGCTACGCCATTTGCTGGCCCCAATATAATCTCAGTTATTAAGGAGTCTATGGAATTGCTGGGAAGAGAAAAAAATATATACATACAAGATTAATAAAAATCCAATGGTGCCAAAGTGCTTGTTGAGGCAGAAAATGCCAAAGAAGGGTAAAGATGACAGACCGTATTTATAGGAGCAGGAAAAACAGCAGCAAGGTGTTAATACTGAATCAAGGTGGGATTCATGCTTGGTGGAGAGGAATGTGCTGGAATGCTTTTTGCTTAGACATTGTCTGAGCACACAGGGAGCAGAAGCCCAGCTCAGCCAGAGCTCAGAGCAGGCTAGAGCACAGACAAGAAGGGGCTGAAATGCCTGAGTAATTATTTAAACGTGATTCTGTAGATTAGCATTTTCTGATGCACGTTCCATGGAGCACCAGTCTATCGAGGTGCTCCTTAAAAGATGACGCCATCGCTGCATACATTTGAGAAGCACTGTGTTTCCCACAGTGCACATCTGCATGGGGAAAGTTCTCAGATACCTCCAGTAAAGAATTCTGTTCCATTTTGCTAATCTGTTGTTTCCTGAACTTGTGTAATCCTGGAACTGTTTAGTCCCACGACATCAAACATCTGGCAGTTATGGCTTTGGGAATACTGAGCTCCACACAGAGCACTATTCTCTCCTCGGCTCTCACTGACCTTAGAAGGCAGAGGCTCCAGGCAGACTGTGGTCATAGGGACTCTTTCTGCATACACATACAGACATAGATACACACACACACACACACACACACACACACACACACACACACACACACATCTTCCCAGAAGGCAGTGGTATAGAAAAAATGTTGTACTGAAAACTTAGAAGCCAGGTCAGGCTTGTAGCCTAATGATTAAAGGAGCTGGATACTACATAGTCAACCGCAGTTCAAATCCTGGCCCTGACAGCTTGATGAACACACCAGGTGCATGTGCATGCATGCCCAAAAATCCCAACAGGATGGAGAATTGGAGAAGAGATTGTGACATGACCATACCACACTGGGGGGGATGCTTTCTCCTTTTCTCTCCTCCTCTTTTTGCTTCTTCATCTCTCTCTGGTGAGTGCATGTTCCCTGTAGTAATTTTAAAAAGAGAGAAGAAAAGAAAATTTGGAAGCCTGAGTTCTAGTCCTGTGTCTTCCTTCAGTTATATACCAAGCAAGTCACCTCTGGCCTTTGTAGCCTCGATTCTTCCTGTTTACAGAGAATTGAACTTTATGGTACTTCTGAGCCCTGACTGCTCCATGGTAATGAGCCCTCCGAAACCAGCCAGCTGCACATAAACTCGCTCACATTCACCCCCATCACAGCCAGATTGCTCCTCCGCTGAGCCTTACTGAGTAGAAACCCCAACACACACGCCACCAGTTCCAAGAGAGACAGTTAGAAAGGGTACTCGCAAATGTCCCCTTTTTTCTCCCTGTCCTAAAGATCTGGTTTGCCTTTGTCCCCTATAGCCTTTGACCCCTCCTTTACTCTCTTGCTGCCATTCCACATCTGTGACCCCGTGTGCGTGTGTATGCATGCTGTATGGATGCATGTGGACGGGTGTGGGACAGGACCCTGGTTCGCATCTCTGGCTCACATCCCTGACACCTGCAATCTTCAGCACCAAGGTCAAGCAAGCTGTCGGCTGTGCTGCCCCAACCACTCTAAGGAAATGCAGGGAAATAGCCCTCCTCCTAGGACATGTGCAGTAATGGAAAATGCTTGTGTCTGATTGTCTTAGTCATTCTGATGTTGGCTGGCACAAGAGATGAAGAAACAATGCCACTGCCTTCTCACAGATTCCTTCTCACGGTCCTCACAGCATCATGCTCTCAGCTTCTGTTCGATGGGTGAAGAGATGAATAGACTCTGGGCTGATGAGTAAAAGCCAGAGGTGGCATCCTGAGGCCCAGAGTGAGCGAGGTTTTAGCTTAGCAGTTATTGGCCTGCTGGAGATGGGGGGATTGAATTGCTAAGAGGTATACCATGTGACCTCTGGGGACTTCTCTCTGTCCCTATCAGAGGTACAACTTCCCCAGGGGAGAGAGAAGAACCAAGGAGTTCCCATGGCCTACAACAGCAACAAGCCAGAACAGTCCACTCTCTCTCAGTCCTAATTTCTAGGAACTCTTCTGTCCATATCCTGTGAATCAAGTGAAGCCACAGGAAGGCTTGAGGACAGCAAGTAAACCCCATGCCTTCAAATCTCTCTGTCTCAGAAGCTCTGAACCAGTCCTCCCCATTCTCTAGTGGGGCCCTGACATCTCCCTACCTGGATCTGCTTTTTTCTAGCTTCGGAGTTCCTTCAACAAAGCCTTCAGTATAAAAAAGGGACCCAAGTCGGCTTCCTCATACTCCGATATTGAGGAGATCGCCACACCGGACTCCTCAGCCCCCTCGTCCCCCAAATTACAGCATGGGTCTACAGAGACCGCCTCCCCCTCCATCAAGTCCTCCAACTCATCCTCCGTGGGCGCCGATGGCACCGAGTAAGTGCTCTCACCACCTGCCACCCAGCCTGGTGCTGGTGGGAACCACTGCCTAGCGTGGCAGTAAGCCCCTTGGATCCTGGACCAGCAGCAGCTTACTACTGATCTCTCCCTGGGTAGAGGAGGCCAAGGAGTAGGCAGTCCTTGGACTAAGCCCCGGGTCCATCCATGGCTACAGCATCAGCCACATAAAACGAGTGCCAGATGCTGAGCGCCAAGGGCCGCTGCACTTGTGTTGAGTACGCGCAAGAGGGACCTTGACTGCCAGCCCTGCATCTCAGTATCCCCTAGTAACCAGTGCTTCCTCGTGTCACCTGGCTTGACTTTTGCCTTCTTACAGGGGTCCTGCTCACCCAGCTCCCCACACTAGGCTGTTCCACGCCAATGAGGAGGAGGAACCAGAGAAGAAGGAGGTATCAGAGCTGCGCTCCGAGCTGTGGGAGAAAGAGATGAAGCTCACGGACATCCGCTTGGAGGCCCTTAACTCGGCCCATCAGCTGGACCAGCTCCGGGAGACGATGCACAACATGCAGGTCAGCCCCAGGCAGAGCTACAAGCCGGAAGAAGTCAGGTCTATGGTCTGTCCAGCCCTGTAGCCACCCTGTCTGTTCTTGCTGTAGCTGGAGGTGGACCTGCTGAAGGCAGAGAATGACCGGCTGAAGGTGGCCCCAGGCCCCTCATCAGGTTCTGCGCCAGGGCAGGCCCCTGGATCATCTGCTCTATCATCCCCTCGCCGTTCCCTGGGCCTTGCACTCACCCATTCCTTCAGCCCGAGTCTTGCAGATACAGGTACCTGTTTGGGAGAAGAGCACCTGAGGGTGGAGAGGAAAAGGGGTTTGCTTCGTGATTGCACCATTCCACATGCTCTGGTGGTCTCTCTAGTGTCAAGCAGATGCCATGAGGCCCTAAGAGCTGTGTGGTCCTTTGACCTTAATTACTTCTCAGTGTGGGGCCTTTGTTTCTCCTCTGGGACAAACAATGAGTTATTTGGGAAGGATAATGACTGCCGTGTTTGGGGATGGCTGTGGGTGCCCCCAAACCAACTAGCCCATTTTGATATTTGCAGACCTATCACCCATGGATGGCATCAGCACTTGTGGTCCAAAGGAGGAAGTGACCCTTCGGGTGGTGGTGAGGATGCCCCCCCAGCACATCATCAAAGGGGTAAGGAGCTCCAGTGGGAGCCAACGTAACATTGTCATATTTATCCAAGAAAATCTGGCCTCCAAATACCCCCAAATTTAGAGCACTCAACTCCGGAGGCCTTTAGGATCTCCCTCTCTCTTTTCACATTTTTTGTTCATTGCAAGAGAATGCAGATGCTTGGCAGAGAGAGAAAGAAAGGGAGTGAGGGGGAAAAAAAAAACCCCTCAATGGGATGTGGCCATTCTGCATCCTTTCTTCTCCATTTCCCCATCCTGTCAGAATTTGGGGCATGCACACACATGTATCTGATGTGTTTTGTGAGCTGACAGGGCCAGGAGCCAAACTGTGGTCAGACATGTGGGATCCGGCTCCTTTAACCCCTGAGCTACACGGCAGCCCAGGATCTCCCTTTCTTGAGTCACCTGCATGGAGGCTCACTTGTTTCTACTTGGCCCTCAGGAAAAAAAACAGGAATTCTTCCTGGGATGCAGCAAGGTCAGTGGGAAAGTGGACTGGAAGATGCTGGATGAAGCCGTGTTCCAAGTGTTCAAGGTAAAGGGACACATGGGCCCATAGAGACTGCTCATCCTCAGGGCTGTTGCGCCATCAGGCACCGGGATCCTGGGGACCGTGGATGCTCCCTGGGGAAATGGTTCACAGGAAAAGCACTGCTGCTTTGTCCTTGCAGATAGTTGTGGCTTTGACATCCGTGTTTGTGTCTTCCCAGCATCCTTCACCATCTTCCTGTTCTCTCTACCATCAGGACTACATATCCAAAATGGACCCAGCCTCTACCCTGGGACTGAGCACAGAGTCCATCCACGGCTACAGCATCAGCCACGTCAAACGCGTGCTGGACGCCGAGCCCCCAGAGATGCCACCTTGCCGTCGAGGTGTCAATAGCATATCCGTGTCCCTCAAAGGTCAGTCCTTGCCTCTTGGAGTGATGATAAGGCATGCAGGTGGGGAGAGAATCCATCACGCATCCACTCAACAAGATGGGCTGGGATGCTTCATTCCTAGGGACATTTTCACCATGCCTGGGCCGCTTGCCCCACCCACGCACCTCTAGCTCAGAGTATGTCCCTAAACATGAGATCCGAGTTTTCAAAACTACAGGTCAGGGGATTCTGGTTGAACCAAGGGGCAAGTGGTTCTGAGTTTCTTCAGAGGGCTTCTAGATGGAGGAAAAATGCTCTTTGGGGGAGCCAACAGGTGGCATAATGGTTAAGGCGCTGGACTCCCACATGGCTGATTGCGGTTTGAGTTCTGGACTCAGAAGCTTGAAACTCACTCCAGACACATGTGCATGCTTGCCCAAAATCCTGAGAGAAGAATGGAGAGGGGATTGTAGCATAGACATCCCCTGGGGAGTGATTTCTCACCTCCTTTCTCCAACTCTCTCTTTCTCTCTATCTCTGTCTCTCTGGCAAGAGCATGTACCCTATAGCAAAATCTTCCTTAAAAAAAATTAAAATGAAAGCTCTTTGGGGTCCTTTGCTATCTTCAGGGCACTGGTCAAGACTTACGCTTTCTGGGTTGGGGGTCAGGTCTGAAGGAGAAGTGCGTCGACAGCCTGGTGTTCGAGACACTGATCCCCAAGCCAATGATGCAGCACTACATAAGCCTCCTGCTCAAGCACCGCCGCCTCGTCCTCTCGGGCCCTAGTGGCACGGGCAAGACCTACCTGACCAATCGGCTGGCCGAGTACCTGGTGGAGCGCTCGGGCCGCGAGGTCACCGAGGGCATCGTCAGCACCTTCAACATGCACCAACAGTCTTGCAAGGTAGCTGCCTCCCAGACGCTGGCAGTCTTTGCTCAGGTCTTAGTCTCCTCTAAGACTTCTGAGCCCCTTCCTGCTCTGCATCCCCTCTCCTTTTCCTCACTCCTCCCTCAATGTTCTTTTCCTTTCCTCCCTGTCAGCCATCCCATTTCAGTCTTCCCTCTTCCCCGCCCCTTTCAGACTTTTTACTCCTTCTCCACACAATTCCATGCCTCTGATCAACTTCTTTCCCTTGCACTGACCCAGTAGCTAGTGGGTAAGGGAGCCAGATTCCACGTGGCCAACCATGGTTCAGATTCCCACTCCAACAGCTTAGAAAACACACCAACCACATGTGTGTGCATGCCTAAAATTTTGACAGGACGGAGAAGTGCAGAGATTGTGACATGTCCATGCCTCACTGGGGATTGCTTTCTTCTCTCTGTCTCTCTCTGTCTGTCTCTGGTGAGTACCTCTAGCAATTAAAAAGAAAAAAAAAAAAACAGAAACTTCTTTCCCTCTAGTTGATCATTGATAAAACAATATTGTCTTCATTTCTCCCTCACTCTGCCAATCCCATCAGTAATATCTCTTTTCCATTTTCTGTCTTCTACTTTTCTTTTCAGTATTACTCTCTGACCTTGGGCTTTCTGGGAAGAGGCACTTACAATTCTGGCTGTTTCTTGAGCACAATCTAAGACTTGGGAGTGGTTCAAATCTTGGCTCTCCCCAACAGAGGAGGCATATCCATTAATGGCAGTTCGTGCTTCCAGCTCAGTACAGTCCATTTAGGAAATAGCACGAGCTCTCCACCTCTGGAGGTTTAGGGGCCATTGCTTAAGCGGGTTGCTTTAGAGCCATTGGAGCCACCGTTAATCAGTCTGCAGTGATCTCATTTCACAATCACATGTCCAAGAGCAACAGACAGGAACCAAAGGCCTCAGATGAATCCAGAACTAGCAAAGCTTCTCCAAAATCCTTCTCTCCAAGGCTGATCCACATACTGATTCCTAAGTTCTGACTCATTGTCTTCTTCACCAGGATCTGCAACTGTATCTCTCCAACCTGGCCAACCAGATAGACCGGGAAACCGGAATTGGGGATGTGCCGCTGGTGATCCTGTTGGATGACCTGAGTGAAGCAGGCTCCATCAGTGAACTGGTCAACGGGGCCCTCACCTGCAAGTATCACAAGTGGTAAGCCGGGGTCAAGACCGAACTCAGGAGGAGGGAGAACCCAATCTGGTCCAACCTGTCAGCTTTCCATTTTGTGCACATGGTAGAGAGCAACTGTTAAGTCTAAGTGGATCTTCTCTTCCTTTCTTCCTACAGTCCCTATATCATAGGTACTACCAATCAGCCTGTAAAAATGACACCCAACCATGGCTTGCACTTGAGCTTCAGGTAAGCGTCATGGTCCTGGACAAACCTCGCAACCCAACCCAAGAATCTATGTAGAAGTTAAATCCCGAGCTCTAACCAGAGGAGCAATAATTAGCAGAAGGAAGAGAAGCAGCCAGAGCCTTTAGGGTAGGAGGAGAAGCAGGTGTATGTGCCATGTCAGATATAGGGTGGAGAAAGGACTGCAGAACTAGGAGAGACCAGCTAGGTGCATAATGAGGATTCTCTGTCCTCACACCCTGCTCTACAGCAGCGAGGCTAGAGGATGACCTGAAGAGGGACACTGATTTAAGAATCAGCTCTGCCTTCCTAGGGTATGCCCTGAGTGCATCTGTCCCACTATCACTTGGGAAGAAACCATGGGATCCTTAGTGGGAGGCAGGCAGGAGGAGGAGGATGGCCTGACAGGGGATGTAGCCACACTGACCCCACTCCTCCATCCCTGGTGGCAGGATGCTGACCTTCTCCAACAATGTGGAACCAGCCAATGGCTTCTTGGTGCGCTACCTGCGGAGGAAGCTGGTAGAGTCCGACAGCGACATCAACGCCAACAAGGAAGAGCTGCTTCGGGTCCTCGACTGGGTGCCCAAGCTGTGGTACCATCTCCACACCTTCCTTGAAAAGCACAGCACCTCAGACTTCCTCATCGGTACTGGGGTCCCACTCCCTCTTGGGGTCAGGAGGAGGCTTCCCTTTCCTTCTTTACCACCTGGAGGGCCACTCCCTTCTCCTCTGGAGTCTTTGGCATGTAAAGGAGTTGCAAGCTGTGGCTTCAGATTTAGGGCCACTTGAGTCTTCATCCAAGCCTTCCCCAGAAGGTTGGCACCATAATTTAGGTAAATCACTTCATCCATCAGAAAGGTCATCCCCTCCTTCGTTTTTTTCCCACAATTAATAGGAAAAAGGAGGGCAAGTTTTCAGGAGGGAATTTAAAAGTTTCCTCCACTCCCTTGTCACACTCCTACCTCACAAAGCATGATGTTTGAGCTCGCCAACCAGCAGTCAGCACCCACTGGCCTTGGAAACACTAATTTTCCTTTAACCTACTGAATGTCAGACCGTTCTGTCTGGCTCTGACGAGTAGAAGAGGCACATGGGAGGTCAAGGGTCTCGTTCATCTTCATGACCTCTTCCTTTTCCCTAGGCCCTTGCTTCTTTCTGTCTTGTCCCATTGGCATTGAGGACTTCCGAACCTGGTTCATTGACCTGTGGAACAACTCCATCATTCCCTATCTACAGGAAGGAGCCAAGGACGGGATCAAGGTGAGCCCTTTCCTCGGACTCCACTCACACCCAAGGTCAGGCTGTCCTGCCTAGCAAGGCAGTAACATTACTTTGATGTTAGACATGGACAGCTAGGATTAGTTAGGTTACCTTTCCTTCTTTTTTTCCTTTTTAATTGCCAGAAGGTACATGCATTCACCAGAGAGTGACAGAGAAAGGAAAAGGGAGAAAGCATCAACCCACCATTGGGGCATGGCCAAACCACAATTCCTTCTGCATTTCTCCATTCCATTGGGGATTTTGGACACACATGCACACATGCCTGGAGTGTTTGTCAGTGTCTCTGGCGAGTGCATACACCCTCTAGCATGAAATAAAAAGGGGAAAAGAAAAGAAAATAGAAACATCATTGAACTAAGAATGAAGTAAAACCCTATTATACCATTTGTTATACAGACTACATCTTCAAAAAGCACGAGAAAATGCACATTTGTTACTAACAAATATGTTACATTGACCATTGTTACTTAACTTTTTAAAGTGTCCTCATCTGTTGAAAATAGGAGATAAGGGACCAGCAGTTAGCGTAATGGCTATGTCGCTGGACTCCCATGTAGTCAACCACGGTTTGAGTGCCGGACCCAGCGGCTTAAACTCATGCCAGGCACGTGTGCGTGCCCAAGATCCCGAGAGGAGGATGGAGGAGAAGGGATTGTGGTATGGCCACCCCACCCACCCCCCGGGGGATGATTTCTCGCTTTCTGTCTCTCTGCCTCCGGCAAACACCCCGCCCCATAAACAAAAACCCCCCCAAAAAAAAAAAAAAAATAGGAGATGATAGGGGAGCGGCAGATAGTGTGGTAGTTAAGGTGCTGAACTCCCACATAGCTGACCATGGTTTAAGTCTGGGACCTAGACACTTGCCTTCTCGCTCTCTCTCTTTCTCTGTCTCTCTCTCTCTCTCTCTCTCCAAATTAAAAAGAAATAATAATAATAAATAAAATAAGATTAAAAATTCTTAAAAAAAATTTTAAGAGGTTTTTAGCTTAGGATGTGTGTGCTCGCCAGACAAAGAAACAGAGACAGGGACAGTGAGAGGGAAAGTAAGAAATCACCTGTCAGGGGTGATGGCCACGCTGCAATCCCTTCTCTTCCATTCTTCTCCCGGGATCTTGGGCACATGTGCACACAAGCTCGGCTTGGTTTTTAAGCCAAAGGTCCAGGCCTTGAACCACGGTCGACATGTGAGAGTCCAACAATATAACCACTAGGCCATCTGCTGATCCCAAGATCACTTTTTTAGAAAGAAAAGAAAATAAGAGATAATACATTCTGCTCTACACTACTTAAATTACTGTTATTTTTAAGATAAAATGAAATATGTGATAAGATTTTTCTTTAAAGTTAAATTAAAAACTTCATAAAAAAAGAAGATATCTTTTTTTTAATTATTGCCAGGGGTTATGTGTATTTATCAGAGACAGACAGAGAAAGAGAAAGAGGGAGAAAGCACCCCCAAATGGGGCATGGTAATAATATAATCCCTTCTCCTTCATTTTTCTATCCTGTCAGGATTTTGGGCATGCATGCACATAAACCTGGTGTTTTTTCCAAGCCTCTAAGGGTAGGATTTGAACTGCTTCATTTATGTGTAATCTGGCTCTCCTAGCCACTAGACTATGAGATTAGGGCATTGTGACCATTAAAGTCCATTCCAGCACTAATGAACTGTGATGCAATGGCTGGACCCTTTGTCATGTATGCAGCATATTTCCAAGGAGCATGCTATTGTGGGACCTCTCAAGACCGTATGAACAAGACTCTAGTCTGTGGGTTCCCCTCCTGGTAGTCACGTTTCTCCTTCCCCAGGTTCATGGACAGAAAGCTGCATGGGAGGACCCAGTGGAGTGGGTCCGGGACACTCTTCCCTGGCCATCAGCCCAACAAGACCAATCCAAGCTGTACCACCTCCCCCCGCCCACTGTGGGCCCTCACAGCATTGCCTCACCTCCTGAGGAGAGGACAGTCAAAGACAGCACCCCAAGTTCTCTGGACTCAGACCCTCTGGTGAGTAGAAGCCATTCTAAGGTAAAAGTAAGAGGTTAGAGAATTGAATTCATCAGGGCCAGCAGGTGGTGTGGTGGTTAAGGGTGCTGGATCCTGCATGTCCAACTACATGGTTCAAGTCCTAAACTCTGTGGCTTGAAAAACACACCAAATGTGTGTGCACATGTGCACCGTGGTTCAAGTCCTGGACTTGGCAGCTTGCTCTCTCACTTTCCCTCTCTCTCTCTTTCTCGGGTCAAAGGAAAATAATTATTATTAATTGTTAAATGAAGAAAAAAAATTTAAAAAAAAAAAAAAAAAAAGAACTCTCCATGCATACTCTGATGGGGCCTGGAGGCTGAAGAATACCAGCAAGGCTGGACCAGAGTGAGTCTGTTGAGGACCTCCGAATATCGGAATCCTGGATTATGAAGATTGTATGCCTGGGATGTCACTTAAGCTCCATAATACTGCATCCCAGCAAGATGTATTCTAGCAAATACCCGAATCTCAGGAAGTTCTGGAGGAGAAGGAACCAAAGCCATAGAGCAGTAGGACATGTTAGCACTGTCTCTACTCATTTTTTTTTTTTTCATTTTTTTCTTAGTTGCCAGAGGACAGACAAGTGCTCTTGCCAGCACAACAGAGAGGGAGGGAGAGGGGAGAAAGCACATCCAGTGGGGCACAGTCGCACCACAGTCCCTTCTTGTCATTTCTCCATCTATCAGGATTTGGGGTGTGCATGTACATGTACTCAGCATGTTTTTCACACCTCCAGGGCTGTGATTTGAGCCACTCGGCCATGTTGGATCTGACTCTCTTAACTACTAGGCCATAGGGCTGGCCCAACCTAGATTTTTAATGTTTCCCCTCTGTGGCCTGCACAGGACCCAGAGTCCCAACTCTCATGAACACATCTTTTTGTCTGTCTTTAGATGGCCATGCTGCTGAAACTTCAGGAAGCTGCCAACTACATTGAGTCTCCAGATCGAGAAACCATCCTGGATCCCAACCTCCAGGCAACACTCTGAGGGTCCAGCAGTCACTGTCACCCCAGGGCAGCAGATCACTGGCATCAGCCACTTTAGCTCCTCCTCTCCCCTCTCTTCTTTCAGAACAATGGCTCTTCAGCCCCAGGAAGAGACCAGGAGGGAGGAGGAGGTGAAAGGAGAGGGGCAGGTTCTTGGTGCTGCACCTTTGAGAGCTTCCTAGCAAGGACTGATGGGGTGGAGTTTGGGAACGCCTGTTCCCGAACTGCGTTTACTAGCCTCCTCTCGTGACTTTCAGGAAAAGATGATTCTGGGTCTTTTCCTCGATGTCCTGTTTCAGTGACAAACTCCTGGGCTTTCTGGGGAGGGGTTCAGAAGACATCAGAAATCTCTGCAGCAGTTCTTAACTGATTCTCGTGAAAACTCCAAGAGAGACAGTCATGCGGAGGATAATCTGAGGGAGGCAGAAAGCTCCCCAGATTTCTTGCAGACCCTTCCCAATTCCATCTCCACTGCCAACAACTCTTCCCCCAGAGATCTGGCCAGAGCCCAGAAAAAGAAGCATGTGGTTTAAGAAACATTTAAATCAATCTGTAAAAGTTTAAGAAAAAAAAAAAGGAAGGAAGAAAAGAAAAAGATGAAGCTGGAGAGAGGGGAACCAGTTGCCAAGGTAGAAAGAGAGCGGCCCGCTCATGCCCTCTGGGTGACAGGAGACATTGACAAGACAGCTGCCAAAACTACGAAGTCGCCAAACCACACAACTAACATTACGGCCTTCGGAGAAAGACTGCTGTCTTTCTGCCCTCTAATTTCACATGCATGAGAGTCAATAAACCCTACTTTTTTATTTTTTATTTTTGTTTTTATTTTGTTTCTATTGTTTTCTCCCATGTGCCTATTTATTTTCCTCCCCAACCCCTGGCCCCATTTCCTCACGTGACCAATGAGATGCTTGGATTGCTTTTGCAGGGATTAGTTTGACTATTCCAAGTAGGATTTCTTCAGAGAGTCTGATACCATCTCATTGGGACCAGCTAGACGCCTGCCACGCCACTGTCTTCAGCATCCTGGGACTCGTGAGCCAGAAGCATTGGCTCTGGAGTGGTGGAGTAGAAGAGCCCACATCCCTCAACATCTCTTCTGAGAAAGCACACGTTCTGCCTAGGAGCTCAAGTGCCAACCTCCGGCCTGAGACCACATAGCCCCATCGTGATAGGAGGTATCTTCGGAGCTTCAGCATGGACTAGAGGAAATCCAGGAAGTACTCCTCTGTCTTGGGGCTGTTTGGCCCATTACTGCACTATTCTGAGGGTAGCCACTTTGCCTGACTGAATCCATACTCTCTAGCTGGCCCTTGCTATTTGTTTCCAGCAAGTGGATAGTTACATATAAGAGACTGACCATCCATGTGAGATACTCCCCATCAGAAAGTAAGGCTCGAGAATCTGACTTGGTGGCTAATATCTGCCTTCTAAAGAGATCCCAGCTTTCCTATTTCCTGGAGGTCTGGTAATCCCTGTTGCTTCATTTGGCAAGTACTTACTGAGTACGCACTGTATACCAGTCAGTAGGTTCAAACATACACACATACACACACAAACAACACTTGAAGATGTGGGCCCTTAATTCACAGTCTACTAAAAAATGTCCCCCTTAAGTGCACACCCCCTTGTTATCCAGACCTTCAGGACCATCTAATAAATGTAGCTGAAATCCAAGGAGCCAGCTTGATGTCCAATACACTGGGGGCAGAAGATCTGGAATCAATTAAGACGGAGCCTGAAGGACTATGGAATCATGCTTGTCTGGAGTGGCCAAATTTATTTCCTGCCTTTTCTAAGAGCCCCTGTAGGACCAGATTCCAGGGTGAATTGCCTGGTGGGCTGAAGTTTCAGAGCTCAGCAGACCAGAGATACGTGATGAGCCTGGGCTAAGTGTTTGCTCTTCAGATTCCTAAGTAGCACAAGACTTTATCAGAATCTATAGGCATTCTAACCCAGACTGCTCTGTCCCACCCAACGGAGGAGTACATGCATCTGAATCTTAACATCAGAATATTTCATTTAGGACCACAAGATTGGCTTAGATTCCCCCACCCCCTGCAAAAAAAGAGAAAAGCTTCCGCATGTACCTGGTAGCTGCCAGGGATGACAGGGTCCTCGATGCCGGAGACTTTTATTGCTATTGCTGCTAATTCCACGAGCTGTGAAGACCCCCAACCAACTCAGCTGTAAAATATGCAATTCTGTAAGTCTGTGGTGGGAAGAGGCTGTTTGTTCAAGGATGGTGCTGAAATCACTGCCTTAAGGGCTCTGCTCTGCAGAATGGGGAGGCCCCAGAGGTGGGTGTTCTAACTTAGAAGGAAGAGAAGACCAGATGGGCCCTATTTTGACCTCAGCTTCTTTCGAACCTATCCTAAGCTCCAGTCCCATGGCAAGGCTCAGACTTTTGATGCTTTCTTAATCTGATGGTTGAACCCTTAATCTATTTCCTGGTGCTGCCCAGCCAGTGCCTTCTACCATGGATGTTACTGGCTATATGAGAAGAAGAGGGAAGGACCCCTTCTTCCATTCCAACTGCCTCAGACCATGGATACCATCGTGAATTTTATTTGGATCCTCAGCAAGATGATTCCGGAGGCCTCTTATACTATGGCTTTTCATTTCTGTTCCTGGGATCCACCATCAGTTGACCGTTGACTGCCACATTTAGCCCGAGTCTCTACCTGCTTTCCTTTAGAAAGTATATTCCCATCTTGTCAGGTAGTATTGAAGCCGTGGCTTTCCCTCTGGAGCCTGGGACTCTGTTTACAGTTGCACATCTGGGCCCTTCACTGTGGGGATCAGTCATCTCAGAAAAGAATTGTGGTCATGTGGCAGCTGCAGAAGGTTGAGCCTCCTCATGGTGCTATAACCCTTTGGGACGCTCACTCAGACTTCTCTGAAGCAGAAAGTCTGAGCTCCCCTGACACTGCCCTAGAATAAATGGCAAGGAATAAATCCACAGCATTCTCTCCTACCTACGCACCTGCTTCTTAGTTCAAACTGTCTGGGTCCCTTGAAAAGGGAAAATTGGGTCCCACAGCAAAATTCTCAACTCCCAGCACCTTCAGAAGAACCCAGCCTACCTAATATTGGAATCTGTGCTATTTCCTTCTTCTCCAGCCCCTAAGCCCCGTCCCTCACCAAAGTCGGCTAGTAAATGACACGGCTCAATACCCAACGTCAACCTACGGGGAGAGTCACAGCTCCAAGAGAGGGGCCTCAGCATTTCCTTCTCATTTCTTTGATGAAGATGACCAACAAGTTTTGTCCAATATATTTGTTCCTCAGTCTGCCTAGGCACTAAAAATAAAATTACTAGGTCACTGGAGGCTAAAATGGAACCTGATGTCTGTGTATGTATGTGTGCGTGTGTGTGTGTGTGTTTCTCTGTCTCTCGCACACATGCACACGTAATGCTGTTGCTGTTTCCTATCTACTGAGGCTTCGTAGAATACTTTTTTAAAAAATCTATGCTTTTTCAGCAGCTCTATGGTGCTTATCTGTCTTTGTATAAATCTTTATGCAACATCTTTACATCTTTTTCATGTAGTGGAACCACTGGGAAGGTAGAAGTTAGCAAGAAAGGAGAATGTGCTAGAAGTCCATGGAGAGACCCAGCCATGAAGTCCTTATTAGTTGGTGTACTACATTTTGGTCTTGAATTACCAACCTACCAACTTATCTATCCATACTCCTAAGAACTTAAGATGAAATAGTGATTTTTTTTTTCTTTTCTTTTCACATCTTGCCTTCTGGTTTGCAAGACCTTTCATGGATCCAATCTTATTGTCTGTTTACTTCTCTCTCCCTGAGACAAGGATCACACAGTTCAAAGGCTACCCCCTTACACCGGTCTGAGAAATAACTCTTTCCTGTAGTATCCTAGGAGTAGGAAGAGAGAAGTGGTAGCCTGCTTTTCCTCAAACACCTCACATGCTATCCCAGTTCAGCAAATCAGAGTCAAGGAAATACCTATGTGAGACCTTAAGGATTCTTGATCAAGGTGTTTGGAGGGGAAGTTGTTCTAGTCACACATTTAACACAGGGTTCGAATGCTGGAGTAACCCCAGTCACCAAATGTAGCCCCTTATCCTACTCTCACCTCCCTACCCCCAATCCTGGCATTAGCTAAGCTGAAGCCAATAAGACTTCATAAACCAGCCCCCACAAATGGGATGAAAGATGTGCATTTGCAGAGGAGATGGCTGCTCTGCTGTGATGCTCTTCGGCTCTCATGATGACTTTAATAGCTACTCAAGTTATGGTTCATGGCCCCACAGAGGAGCCCATAAGTAATACAATGGTCTTAAAGACACTGATCCCAAAGGGCCAAAGTCTGAAGGCATTGTCCTTTATAGCTGAATCAGCCTTACATATTCATAAGACCTCATCCAATCTGATCAGGGACATAAGGGGCTGCCCCAACCCCGAGGGTGCTCAACCTAGCCCTAGAAACGAGCTGCCAGCCATAGATTTTCAGGTGGAAGTAAACTGAACATGGTATTGCCTCGAAACTAAAGTTTGGAAGTTTGGAAGTTGCAGGAAGATCAAGACTGAACATTAAACCTGGGCACACTGGATCCTTCCAGGTTAATGTTCGGCCATTCTTCTTAATGATTGTGCCAGAGAATCTCTGTGACAAGGGTGGACATGGAAGTAGATGAACTAGTTCTTCATTCTGTAAAGCAATTGTTCTCAAAGCATGGTTCCAGACCAGGAGCATCAACACCCATCTGGGAACTTTTTAGAAATGAAATTCTCAGGCCACATCCCAGATCTACAGAATCAGGAACTAGGGACAGGAGCCAGCAATCTGTATTTTAACAAACTCTCCAGCCAGATGCTCACCACAGTTTGAGACTCAGCATTTAAAGGGAAAGCCTAGTGTCAGAGCCCCCATACTGACAAGGGGGTGCTTTGGGACCAAACATAAGAAAGTCCTAAGTTATAATTCGGATTTTAACATGAATTTCAAAGTCACCTTTCTCGTACTTCTCCTTAGAAGTTTTTCTTTTAACAAAGAACAGGTGTGTGTGCTTTGGAGCAGAAGTTAGAGGGACATGTGCATCTTTCTCAGTGAACACAACCTTCAGAGAAAAATCTCAAGCCTCTGAAATTTCTACCCGGCGAACCCAGGGACTTTAACACAGGAAAGGAATTGGAGCTCTCTTCCAGATTGCTCGTCTGCTGAATTATACATATCTATTCTGAGTCCTTTTCTGATTATGTAATAGGATAGGAAAAAAAATCTAATTTGTGTTTCCATGACAACGTGTTCTCTCAGCAACATCCTATTCCCTTACTTGAGTTATAAGGGGCACAGCTGGATCTGAGAACCCGGCCAGACCTTCCTACGCTTGGCAGCTAATAACAAGGCTCTAGAATCCCAGGAAAGCCCCTTACCCTGCTCAGCTCAGCTGAGTACCCTACTCAGCTCAGCTCACAGGTGAGAGTTCTGCGCGATGAGGATGGCACTGGGCCAAGGCCTCAGGCTCATCCTTTCCTTTCCCCACGTCAGGACTTGAATGCAGAACCACTCAGCCAAAGTGGTAGATGAAAATCTTAAAAACAAAAATCCGAAGGGAGCTTTGTATCGTTCCAAACGCACAGTCTAGGCAATGGGGCTGTGGGTGAGATTAGGCTGTTCAAAATTGGTTTTCTTTCAAGCGTGTTTTCCCTGTGAGGAGAGCTTTTAGGAAAAGCACAGGGCGGAATACTAGACCTAGGTCTCCCGCGCTCCAGAGCTGAGCATGTGGTGGAAGGGCTAAAGCCTGGGGAAGGCGAGTATGAACTAATTGCACCAAAATCAGTCCCCAGAAGGCTGAGGAACGGGCCCTCTGGCCATCTGCGAGGATTCTCCCTGCTCCCCTGCCTGTGCCTGAGCCCAATGAACAAGATCAGACAGAAGGTGAGAGCTTCCCTACCACAGTCCGTCTCTGGGCTTCTGCTGCGCAGTGGCCTCCCACTTCCTAATGTTTTTTGTTTGTGTGTGTGTGTGTGTTTTAACAAAACGATCTTTAAAAAAAAAAAAAATGCCAATCCCTGCTGGCTTTCCTTTCTCCCTCCTCCAGTTCTGTTTTAGGCTGCACTGCTGGTGTGATGGAGTCTGTTTCTCAAATGCATGGCGTTCCTCAGGTGGGGATGGTAGGAATTTTTGCAACGTTAAAAAAAATAATTTTTTAATTTATTGGGTCAAAACCCCAAATCAGGATATGTGTGTCTGTGTGTTTATGGTTTTTTTCTCATTTGACTCTCCCCTCTTTCAGCCTACCCTCTTTTATATCTAATGTAGAGAAAACAAAACCGAATCTGGAAAGCAAACTGTTGTATATAGTTGCGGTAACAATCATGAAGAGATCTGAGCTGTCCCCTCAGTAATTCATTTTATATAACAAATTGGTTGAAAATTAAATTCATGCCAGGGCCAGCTGAAGAGGCCTTCCTCTGTCGTCACAGAGGCCCCCTGTCTGGGCCCTCTGTCCATCAGGCATGTCTCCTCCCGGCAAGATTCATCTGTTCGATGCCATTGCGTTTCAATAAAGTTATCTCCTGTATCGTCCACTGCTTCTCTCTAGCTCCCTCTCTGCCTGGTTTCTGTGTCTGTTACCCTTGACATGGAAGGTGAGACCCCCTCATGGTCACTTACCTAACCCAGAAGCCCAACCCATCTGCCTGCAAATGTCTGCTCCCCCAATCCTGAGCTGGAGTCTCCAGACTCCTTTGGTTGGGGGTGGGGGATACAAGGGGAACAGTGTCCTTCGCCAGAACTCAAAAGGTCCAGTCCAAAAGTCAGAGCTCTTCAATCTGCTGCCGCCATTTTTTTTTTTTTTTTTGGAGAGATTTTCACTGTAGGGCGCGTGCACTTGCCAGACAGACAGAGAGACATAGAGACAGAAAGCGAGAAATCACCCCCCAGGGGGGATGGTCACGCCGCAATCCCTTCTCCTCCATTCTCCTCTCGGGATCTTGGGCACACACACACACGCGCCCGGTGTGAGTTTTAAGCCACCGGGTCCGGGACACCAACCGCGGTCGACTACGTGGGAGTCCAGCAACATAGCCATTACGCTAACTGCTGGTTCCCGCTGCCGCCATGTTTGAAAACATACTATCCTCCGAACTTTCCAAAATTTTCTCCTTGGGGTAAAAGCAAATTAAGCTGCAAGAAAAGAAACTGTTCTAATGGAGTTCAGTGTCTCTAGAAGGCCTCTGGAAGAAGGAACATTGTAATTCCCCATTGTGGAATTGCAGGCTTAAAGAATCTCTTTTCCCTATGAAACACAACCCAACTCTGCCCTCTTAACACAGGAAGTGGCGAGTGTGTTTAGAGCTCTCCTCAAAACAAATGAGAAAGCATTCTCTTGGAAGACTTATTGGAGGAGGGGACTTAACCCCCTATTGTTCTCTGTTAGTAGTTAGTATTCGGTCTTGAGAGTAGCCTATGAACTGCTCAGTAGTCTCCTTTACCACTTGGAAATGACAGCAAGGGTTCTTGGAAACCACTTCTTTCTTTTTTCTTCTTCTATTTATTTATTTATTGAGAGTTTTCTTTTTTGCTATAGGGCGTGCACTCGCCAGATAGACAGAGACAGAGACAGAAGGTGAGAAATCACCCCCCCAGGGGAGATGGCCACGCCGCAATCCCTTCTCCTCCATTCTCCTCTTGGGATCTTGGGCACACACACACACACA